CAAGTTAGTCTAAAAATCAAAATCTATGTTTTAACCAAGAGTCAATGTATCGTGAGGATTAATGATGTTAAAAACAGATGACAATGGCAGGAAGATAGTAGTGGAGACGAAGTATTTATGTCAGTATCTGTGTGGAGGCAAAATAGAATATAAAGGAGCAAGTTGTGTAAATTTTAACACATATGACATGAAAGATAGCCTTATATAGTAAAGTAATTTAGAAATGTCGATAATTAATATCAAACAATCAAAAAAAGTACGGTACGTGGTACATATATAAACTGAAAGTCCGTATTAGTAAAAATTGGGAGGTGCAGAGACAAGTAGTTTAGAAGATTACCGTCTAAGATTATTATGTTGCTTCTTGAACAAATATATGGAACAGCTTTCTGGAAAAAAAGTACTGTCGAAAAAAACTATGACAGACTCACCGAATTGGACAGATAGCTTCGAAAATTAAATGATTTATAGTATCCAAATACGATTTAAATGATAGTTCATAAAATAGTGAATACAGTCTTTTAACATACACGGTTATATATATTTCTTGATATTAGGTAAAGGTTTGAATAGATCCGAATTAGACAGGTAGCTTCGGAAATTAAATGATTTATAGTATCCAAATACGATTTAAATGATAGTTCATAAAATAGTGAATACAGTCTTTTAACATACACGGTTATATATATTTCTTGATATTAGGTAAAGGTTTGAATAGATCCGAATTGGACAGGTAGCTTCGGAAATTAAATGATTTATAGTATCCAAATACGATTTAAATGATAGTTCATAAAATAGTGAATACAGTCTTTTAACATACACGGTTATATATATTTCTTGATATTAGGTAAAGGTTTGAATAGATCCGAATTAGACAGGTAGCTTCGGAAATTAAATGATTTATAGTATCCAAATACGATTTAAATGATAGTTCATAAAATAGTGAATACAGTTTTTTAACATACACGGTTATATATATTTCTTGATATTAGGTAGAGGTTTGAATAGATCCTGTAGATACATAAAGTACGTGGGTTAAAGCATCCAAATACGATATAACCATATATTCCTGCATCACGTAAGTTTTTTGTCTCATGCAGCTATTTTCCCTGTCGTTGCAACTTCTTCCACATATTTCTGCTTGTGTGTTTTCAGCTTGTGCCTTATACTTCTCCGTTTTTGTCCAGCTTACGTATTTTCATGTGCACTTGCTTTTCATTAAATGAATTGTGAATCTTGTCACTCAGAATATCCTGATTCGTCGAAGTAACTGTAGAAGAAAGGCCGAATTTACTCTTTGTAATGTTTTTTCTTGGTTAATCAGTGCTTTATTCGCTTTAGTTTCATCTTTTCAAACATAAGATATTAGTTTGAAGATACGTCGACTCATCTTCTGGTTCTCACATCATTCAGTGTCTACTTGATCAGTATTATGGTTCTCCATGGTGTTATCTTGAGAGATCCATGTAGCTATCTATACATGCGATTGCGCACGAAATATTGTACGACAACGAATGTTTTGTTTCTTTGCCCCAGTCTATATTGTCCACAAAAATCCTTAAAACCTGCGTCGGTTATTCCGACTTCGTTGATTGGATACATCAGTCAGATGGTAAAAAGGTTAGTCATTTAAAAACAATAGACTGCAGTTCACTGAAAAAAATGCAAACGAGCAAAGAAATCATTGGACAATATAACTGCGAATATCAACACAATCAAAACGATAAGTGATTTCTTCGCCTGTATTAAAATTGTGTTTATCAAAGTTTTTTCATTCATTGGATGGATACATTGACAGTGATGTGAAGAATGAAATTGTCTTCCATCAGAATTATACACAACAAACATGTCCAGAGAACTCTTGTGTTAAGGTAATTGTCAATCAACAAAAATAATATCCATACGTTCCGTGAAGTGATTGACACAGTTTTCTTTTATAGATATCTTGCTAACAAAGAATAAATGTGATCACAAACAAAACGTGACTTGTTGAAAACGCTTAGCAACTATAAACAATTTCACGCTTACAGATCGTGATCTAAAGTTTAAGAATTACATAAACAAAATGAGACTTGTCTAGTGAACTGTTGAACTTTAAGCAATGTTACATGACATTAGAGTGGTTTTATGCACTGTTCGGCTCATGATGATTTGTTACAGTTTCTACGGTTATTCGACTTTTGTTGTTTCTTTCCAAAGTATTTGTGAATACTGGTCATTGTTATCTTAAACGCTCCACATTATTTATTTCGGTTTATGACTGTTTTAAAGCACGAGGACTATGTAGCCGATCACTTTTTTATTCGTTTTTTTCTTCGAGTTCCCATCAAGTTTTGTTACTGTGAAAATGTCAATACCAACACACATTGGAAATATTTTCATGTGTCCAATCTGAATAAATGTGAATGTTCAATTTGATAAATAAGTAGCGTCGAACGTCGTAAGGACTTTGACAAGCAACACTTGTTCTGTGGTTACACTGATATAAATGTCTGATGATTAGTGTTTGATGTTTTCATTTACTTCATAGAATTATTCATAGTAACATTAGAGATTATTGTAGCGGTAAATAAATCCCCAAAATGAATATCTTTGTAAGTTTCCAACATTGGATACTGACCACATTAGTTTTAATGGATTCATCTTGCTGAAGGCGCTCGGTCATGCGTCCGCACCAGATCACGAGTTTGAACGCCGTGCTTAACAACTCCTGCAATCGCTAGCCAGTCTAAATTAGTCGATTCTTGATATAATGATAACCTATGAAATGTATCTTTGAACCTCTTCTGTTCTGACGTTTGATTTCTCTATGTGGGCACGAATTCTCAGTAGAATGTGTTCATGACAAGAGCACTGTCAAACTACAAATACCTGCGGCATCTTCATTGATGATCCTGACGTGATCCGGTACACCAACGTTCAAACTGTGAGTTTGTTCCGTCTTGGAATTTAATGGATCATTTCTTCATTTCAATTTTTATATATTATGACATGTTTTCGTGATTTGAACGTTTGCGTATATTTTTTTATCATTTATTATTTTACTTCGTATTCATCATGATGGCAACATGGAAAGGAAATGACGGAAACAGATAAATTGGTGTTCCCGACTACTGGACTCCGTTTGCTCGTATCGATGTGTAGATTGTGGTGTTGTAGCAGGTTCTTACAAATTATTGGCATGGAAATATCTGCAACGACGAAAATCTATTGGATGTGTTTGTGTAAACCCACTTTCAAATAGATGTATGTTTAAAAAACCGGGTTTGTGAAGGCGATCGTTAGAACTCGCTGGAAGAACGCCAACTTTTGAGCCATTTTAGACGTGGTAGCGAACTTTTGTTATTATATCTGTGACGTATAACAGACGGCTGTGTTTGCCGACTACGGTTGCCTTTAAGGTGTGTCGGCTATGAAGTTTCTCGAAATGTTTTTTCGTGTCGATCGTTTTTCAATTCGGAAAGTTGCAAGGTTTTCTGCAATTTCTAGAAGACGTTCTGTACCGCTTATGACAGCAGCATCTGTCGAAGTTATCTGCCTCCCGTGGTCGAGAGACATGTCTGCCGCTGAAGCGTGTTGTAAATCGAAATTATCAAGGAGTTGGTCATAACTGTGTCGATCGCTTAAACCACATGTGTAAAAAAAAGATTGTTTAAAGATTTCAAAAGGTTCCGAAACATCATTAATATACATACTAGGTGTGACATATCGCAGTAGTTTCTTTACCACGGCGGGGAATCAGGCTGGTGTGTCGTTCACTACGTGCTCGTAGAAGTTTCTATCTGCATTGGTTGAAGTGATAGTGACGTCATGGACTTTAACTGAGGTACCTTAGGTATCTGTGCCGTCATGATGAATACGAAGTAAAATAATAAATGATAAAAAAATATACGCAAACGTTCAAATCACGAAAACATGTCATAATATATAAAAATTGAAATGAAGAAATGATCCATTAAATTCCAGGACGGAACAAACTCACAGTTTGAACGTTGGTGTACCGGATCACGTCAGGATCATCAATGAAGATGCCGCAGGTATTTGTAGTTTGACAGTGCTCTTGTCATGAACACATTCTACTGAGAATTCGTGCCCACATAGAGAAATCAAACGTCAGAACAGAAGAGGTTCAAAGATACATTTCATGGGTTATCATTATATCAAGAATCGACTAATTTAGACTGGCTAGCGATTGCAGGAGTTGTTAAGCACGGCGTTCAAACTCGTGATCTGGTGCGGACGCATGACCGAGCGCCTTCAGTAAGATGAATCCATTAAAACTAATGTGGTCAGTATCCAATGTTGGAAACTTACAAAGATATTCATTTTGGGGATTTATTTACCGCTACAATAATCTATAATGTTACTATGAATAATTCTATGAAGCAAATGAAAACATCAAACACTAATCATCAGACATTTATATCAGTGTAACCACAGAACAAGTGTTGCTTGTCAAAGTCGTTACGACGTTCGACGCTACTTATTTATCAAATTGAACATTCACGTTTATTCAGATTGGACACATGAAAATATTTCCAATGTGTGTTGGTATTGACATTTTCACAGTAACGAAACTTGATGGGAACTCGAAGAAAAAAAACGAAGAAAAAAGTAATCGGCTACATAGTCCTCGTGCTTTAAAACAGTCATAAACCGAAATAAATAATGTAGAGCGTTTAAGATAACAATGACCAGTATTCACAAATACTTTGGAAAGAAACAACAAAAGTCGAATAACCGTAGAAACTGGAACAAATCATCATGAGCCGAACAGTGCATAAAACCACTCTAATGTCATGTAACATTGCTTAAAGTTCAACAGTTCACTAGACAAGTCTCATTTTGTTTATGTAATTCTTAAACTTTAGATCACGATCTGTAAGCGTGAAATTGTTTATAGTTGCTAAGCGTTTTCAACAAGTCACGTTTTGTTTGTGATCACATTTATTCTTTGTTAGCAAGATATCTATAAAAGAAAACTGTGTCAATCACTTCACGGAACGTATGGATATTATTTTTGTTGATTGACAATTACCTTAACACAAGAGTTCTCTGGACATGTTTGTTGTGTATAATTCTGATGGAAGACAATTTCATTCCTCACATCACTGTCAATGTATCCATCCAATGAATGAAAAAACTTTGATAAACACAATTTTAATACAGGCGAAGAAATCACTTATCATTTTGATTGTATTGTTACTCGTGTTCTTATGTACTGATGATATTTCAGGATTGGCGAGTTCTTGGAAGTTTGTTAATGTTCCGTTATACCCAAGTACGTTTATTCTATTTTTTAACTGTATGAAATCAAAATCTCTCATCTATTTCTTTTTTAATTTTAATCGCTCAACTAGTATTGTTGCATAAATCTACCATCGTGCAAGATGTATTGATCGACCGATCAACCAATATCCGGATGGAAGAACGGACTGACGAACGTAAAATTTATTTGTATAGACCAGGTGACGTATAGCTCACATAGCGTTTTTGATTTACTCGTATTATATTATATCAGAACACTAACTCTGTGCTTTATATAAACGGTTTTAATTAAGAAAACAGAAGAAATTACAGCAAAAATACAAAATACCTCAAACGTTACAGCCTGTGCTTTACATACAGAAGGTTCTCTATCGCAAATTAGCGCGCCAAACAATTTAAGAGACAGTTAATACTGAAGGGTTTGATACCTGAGTGTCAATACAAATATTTTTCAAATAAGATGGGATCAAATATCTATCTGTAGGGATTGCAGCAATTCTCCCATGCTGACAGTCAGAAGGTTAACATTCACAAACTGAACCACGCCATTACCTTGAGTTTAGTCAAACACGACCTTACTGTCAATAGTCTGGCAACATGCAACAGAAAATTAGGTAACAAAAAATAAGTCTTTAATCAAAACCACAAAATAAATGCCCAAATGAGGAAGACTGAAGCACAAAAGTCATGGTTAAACGAAATTGGAACAAGGGTTAGAATGTAAAACAGGAAAAAGGAACAAATAAATGGCGATACTGTTCAACAAAGAAGCCGCTGAGGGATTTTCACTGTTCCCTTTCCGTTACAAAGTATTACTATATATAAAGTGCTCTTTAACCCGTCACAGCATCGTTGACTTTAGATCGGCAGTCTAATCCTTTATCCATATGATTCAATAATTTACCGATTCTTCTGTTTAGTCACGTACACACGAAAGATAGTGGAAGCCGACTGTCTAATACCTTGTAGCGATCGAGATGAGCTTAAAGCATTATAAGATTCATCTCTAGTGAACTAAAGGTTATGAGTAGTGGTCTAACAGTGATCTGTTAATCGCTTCAATAAATTTCAACAATCCTTGCAACGTTTAATTAAAAATATTATTCTTTTCTATGAGATATCCTAAAGAATGTACATCGAAATGTTGCTGAAACTTGATGACATTACTGGAATACTTGGTTCGCAAATATTCATATAGATGTATATTCCTGAGACTTGTATTTCAGAAAGTTTATGATAATTATTTCTCTTTAAGTTACTCTGAATCACTACAGTTTTCCCATGTCTATACTGTTAAAATGCAATGAAATGATGTCATACGTAGTTTTAAGAACTGAGGTTTAATTGTGTAGTCTCATACTGTAGAAATTTCTTAGAGGTAAGGTTATCTTTAGAAATCAGGATTTCAAGTATCACTCTACAGCTTGACAAATTTTTATATATTAATACCACTCTCACTGAATGCATTTCACCCGAATAATCCATAAAACATATCTTATTATCACTGATGATCGTAACTAACCAAAGCCAGTTGTTGTTTGAGAAAATAGGTGGTTTCAAATGAAATTTTTTGAACTGTAATCTGAAAGATTTTGATGATTTTTTATCGTACCAAATGTACCATATTGATTCAATATTCATCATTGTGATTAGTATCCCAAAGACACGAAATGATAAGTGTCATGGACATTACTTTTTATAATTGCACATAATTCGTGAGTGACTAACAATAGTATAAGCCATAAATACATCAATCACATATTGCTTTAAGTTTCATTTTGGTCCAAAATACATAAATATAAATTTGAAAAACGTTAAATCACTGGTTTTATTGAAGGTATATATGATAGAAGAAGAGGTTTAATTTTCTTCCGGAGTATAGTTCAACCTAACAGTGAATCAAGGTTACAAGCTCTTTGATGCAGTTAAATCCATATTCCAGGTACACAAACCGGCAAATTACAAGAACTTCAAACGTTCATTCCTCTCTCAACCTAGTGTGAACAGTGTTCACTGATTGATTAATACTGATTCGTGAACATTACTCATTCTGCTTCAAACGTTTGTTTTAGATATGGTAACTACTAGTGCAATTGAAAATGTCGGCGATGATAATAATGTGTCTAATTATACTTCAAGGGAATTTAGATTACCACGTACATTGTTTCCACATTTCTACGATTTGTCAATTCAAGTCCATTTGCATGGTAACAAGTCACAAGCATTTTTCTTCAATGGATCTGTGACAATAAATGTTTTTTGTAGTGTGTCGACAACCGAGTTCTTCGTACATGCATCCGATAATCTGAATGTGAGCTTGAATCAAATCCATGTAAGCTAAAGTTTTCAACTATACTTTTATTGGAACATAATCCGCATTTTTTGAAATGAGGATAAAATCAACTAACGAACTCATATTATGTAATAATAATGATAATAATTAATTTATATTCTGAAAAATAATAATTACAGAATTCACGCCAGTTTACAGGCATTATAAAGACGAAACCAACTACATTTATGTCATCGTTTGGTGAAAACGTTTTGAGACAAAATTTGATTCAATATCATCATTTATAACGGTTTATATGACAGTGATTCAAACAGTATTTTAATTGGAGTAAAGTTTCCGTAAAAGCTCACTTTAAATTAAGTTTCAATATTATTATCCTCGTCAGGACTCGATCACATCATTTCATTTCTTAAATCATTTGAAAACAATATTGTCTGATACATTTTGTAATTAGAATTGTACAAAAGGAAATAAAAGTGACAATTGCTTAATTATAGAATGTTAACCAAAGGCTGTTATATCTTGTGACCGCCAATTAAGGAGCATTAACTTATCGATCGAATTAATGACGCGTAAACCCATATGAGCAGTCTAGATTCCTGATTGGCCCTGCTTCTTTCCTAGCCTAGCCAACTAAGCCCAGAAAACCAATCCGAGCCTCTGCGATATGAATCATTATATTTCAAACATACTGAGTTTATATACCAATCCAGCAGACCAAAATGTATCTACAAAATATGAAACAACATGAAACAACAACTCAAGAATGGAAAATCGTATAATAACAGTTTACAGGGTAAAATGAAGCTTATGATAAGAGAGACATAAATATGAATAGTTTGATTAATTAACAATTATACGATGAAAATACACGTCTAGTATTTATAAATAATTGATTCTATCAAATAGCATTAGATTCTACAGCTATGATGCAAAACGGATCACTTGAAAATACCATCATTACTGCATGTTCAACAGTTTAATTAAGATAAATGTTCTAGCCTTCTTGTCTCTTACAGTAAGCTGTTGCTGATGTTACCCAGTCAACGGGTATTCGTAATTTTGTGCAGACAATTGTTCACAGATACGTGTACTCAGTTGATGTAGCAGTTTGCCAGCTTTCAGCTCAGAAGAATAGAACTTTTAAATTTCTATACAGATTTAATCCAATACGTATCATCAATTTTGAGTATCACCATGCAGTATATCCTCATTTCCGCAGCTATCTGATCATTCCTCCTGGTGTCACACATTGTTCTTACATCCTATATACCTATACTAATTGTCGCCCTGGTTCGAGGAGGGCAAATAGTGTTTGTGACAACCGCGGAATCTTGTTATTCACTATGAAGCGTCATAACTACTATAGATAAAGATTTCTCAAATAAGAGACCAGAGTTTGCATGGTTGCAATTATGTTTTTCTGGATATTCACGTTTCAATGAGGTTGTTTTCTGTGTCATGTGGTGGCTAACCCTATGCTTAAAACTCCTCATTTATCCGAGGTTGCGAACGGCATTAACCCTAGAAGGGCTACCGATGGAGATATTTATTGCTGACCATTGCAGTTTTGTATTTGTATTATATTTTTTTGTAAAAAGTAATGATAATTTTCATTCCAAATAAACGGAAATCAAATACTATCTATTCAAAATGTAAATGTTCTTTCTGATCAAATATAATTATTGTCATTTTACAATAAGTCTCATCTCTCTTTCTTAAAAACAGATGTCTCGTCTTCATGAAAAAAATCAAACAAGTTCTATTATTGAAATAGATGACGTTAGTTATTTTCAAGATGCTGAGTGTTATCGAATTAAACTCAAAACGCCTCTGCAACCACATACTTATTACAACCTAACATTTGGACAGTTTCGTTCTGATATGGACTATGATTCTGATGGACTGTATATTAGCAGATATTTGGAAAATGGGATTTACAAGTGAGTCTCGATTTAAGGTATACGTGTACAGGCTTATTTGGTAGCGGTTGACGAGCGTTACATGAGGAAGAGTGATGTTTACTGACTAATATCACAATGCTAAACATAATGAGATAGAAAGTATATTTACTGAGTCTCTCTAGTGCTCAATGTAAATTTGTTACATCAAAACTTGTGTCCGTTTTGTAGTAACTTGAAAATCCTACTACTAAGTCCACTTCAATAATCGTTATATCACTGGCGTTATCTGTCATATCTACCACATTCTTCTGTTAGTAAATGGACACACTCGATTGATTCTTCAAAACAAAATGTAACGGTTAACGACTATTAACGAAATAAGTAACAAATGTTTGGTGCATTATCTTTCTAATGGTTTCAATTCTTAGTATATGTGTGACTCATTGTGAACTAGTGTCCAGAAACGCTTGCCATTGAGATTCTCTCTCTCAGAAACACTATTTACTTTTCAATGAACATCACGATAATGGCTTAGTGTACAGTGAATGTAAAAATTTACGCAATAAAAATCTTTTGTCGCTGACTGAACATAAATATGTTACTCAGAGTTCCAGCGACCTTCCATAACTCAAAGAGAGAACATTTTTCAGACTAATTATTCATTAGTAAATTTTGCCATCTGACTGAATGTGTTTTTGTTAAGAAATGTTTTATTCAATGCTAACTGCACAATGAAAATTCTCTGGGATCAGGATGTGTGTGTATTGTAGTGCGACATGTTTGGTGGTCTTCATATCGTAATTATCATCAGTATTCTTATGAAGCAAAAAACACGTGCAACTGAGTTTGTCCACATTTAATTTGGTTAAAAATTTTTGTTAACTTATTATCGGACAGAGTTATTCGTATAATAACAAATTATTTGTATGATTCTACCTTAATTATTGTTGCGAATGAATGAGCTTTGCTTACTGCCCAACTCTAGAATTGTGAAACATTATAAACGTAATGATAAGAAATTCATAAGTCATCAACAAATATGAATCGAACATTTTCTTGTCAGGAAAAATATAATTGTGTAGATTTAGTTGGCAACGCTGTGAGTGACACAATAATATACGAAACATTTGAGTGAGTCATAGGTTACATTTTGAGCATAGTATTCCCCTCGAGACAGTTCTCTTTCTTCGAAAGCATATTATAAATCACTTTTCGTAAATGAGATAAGTGCTTGTATACATATGTTCGTCGTTATATATATTTCAGACATTTGGCAAGTACTGATTTAGAACCAAGCGATGCGAGGAGTATATTTCCATGTTGGGATGAGCCAGAATTTAAGGCAAAATTCAAGGTATCTAATTTTTACTTAAAATGTTCTCGTTTTCAATTTTTCCTGCATAAGGTGTGGCCTTTACAAATCCGGGCCACTTTGTTAGAATGTAAAAACATTGAATCAAGTGATGTTTTGTGATTTAAAGTCGTGTGTGTGATATGCGAAATTCCAGTTGACGATAATAATGAATTTAGACTACATCAGTCATGTTATGAAACACACCATTAGTTAGATTGAAAAAAAATTAGTTCATGACTTTTTTTACCCACACGCTTCAATATTTATTATTGTGCATCACATATTTTTGGATGAAACTGGTTATCTGTCAAAAGGAACATGTACTAAAACTCCTGTACAATGTTCTTTTGTGAAGCTACTGAAATTGTCCTAGTCAATGTACAAACAGTAATAATCTAACATGAAGTATTTTCTTGCAGAGCGTTAGCGTATGTAATAACAATCATAAACGTTTTCCAATTAATTGATGCGCAGATGGAAGTAACAAAAACCTCTAACATATATAACATACCCCAAACTTTCCATAAAGGTACCCAGTTTTGATGAGTCCTAAATTGAAGCATGTTTATATTTGCTTTATCACTTATGCACGACAAAAACTGCAGATGAACATCAAGCACTCGCAGATTGTACTCAATGAGACAAGAGACCATCATTCGTAATCAAGTATCCATGTGCATGTGAAGATATTGATTATTCAGGATGCAACATGTTTCAGCAAGACAAAAAGTCGACGATTGAATAATGAGTAATCCATCAACTCACTTAGAAAATTAGTTTCCACATGAGTTAAGGATTTCCAGGTGGTTATGTGATATATTGCTAGACAAGCACGATAAGTATCTTGAATCGTTTCAATTGGTTAAACATGCCACTTATTATTCGAGAACAAATTTCTCACGTTTGTGTCTTTCAGGTCAATATTGTACGCCACAAAAATTTCCATTCGCTTTCAAACATGAATTTGGAAAGTACGGAAGTGTTTCACGATGATTGGCATGTCGACAGATATAACACCAGTGTGAAAATGTCCACATATCTGTTGGCATTTGTAGTTTCACAATTTTCGAATATTCAGAGGACAGACAGTAGAGGACGAAACGTGAGTGTTATCAATTAAACAGATATTTTGTAACTCTCCATGCAATACTTTTGTAATGTATCGAAATCCTGTATATCCAGGAAGAACCACCATGAGATTGCATGCAACCGATCATCCGAGACGGTTCGGGATATACATAGATCCACGTTAAATACATACTAGCATTCACTGTGATGTAGTAGCAGTTACTCGACGTTTCGAAGTTATGTGAACACGCTTACAACGCCACAGTGATGATAGAAACTAAAACAGAACACCTGAACAGAGGATGTTCCATACAAGTATTCAAAAGCAAAAGTATTGTTTGATGGTGCAAGCCATTGTTTTAACGATTCTGAGTTCTCTGTGTTTGAATCAGATCAAAGTTGTTCAATCACTCGTGACATTGAAAACAGTCTCTTCTATCAAGTTTTAGCAATAATGATTTGAAGGTCATTTAATATTTTTTTTGATAAGACTGATCCATTTATGGATAAAATAATTCTTTCATTTAGTTCACTGTTTGGGCAAGACCGGATAAAATTCGATCAGCTGAATATGCACTTGATATTGGCATAAAATTATTGGGATACTTTGAAGATTATTTTGGCATTCCCTATTCACTTCCTAAAATGGGTAGGTATTGCACACAAATGTGTTCAGGTTTAATATATGTGTGACCATACAGCGTAAACAATTCAAACAACAACTGAAAGAGATGCATGATTAAATACTGTACAATGTAAACTATGCAACCAAACATTAGTATCCTAGTAATTTATGAAAATACAAATTCGAATAAAACATGTTATTTTAATGACACTAGTTATATTTTGAAATGAAGTGGATTGAATATAAATAAAAGTTTTCAACTATTTAAATGGTGTAAATATATTCGTGCATATGGATGTCCATAATTAATCCGTTTATTCGGTAAGCACTTTCGTGTGATAATGTCATTACAACCACGTACATTTCAAACGTGTTTTTCACCATATTTCCAGATATGCTTGCAGTTCCTAACTTTTCAATGATGGCAATGGAAAACTGGGGTTTGATAACTTGTGATGAAAATTTAATGTTATGGAACGCAGAAAACGGTTCGATAGCATCCAAAATTCTTGTGACTTTCGTTATTTCACATGAACTTGCTCACCAGGTATGCTCCTGAATGAAAAATGAAACCTTAAATTCAATTTGTAACTCAATAATTTGCAGATCGTTCGGATCATAAACTCACTCTCCTTGAAAAACGAACAAAAACGCATTCTCTGTTGTTTTCGACTGCCGCAATTTCAACACACAAGATATCTGAGCGTTTCAGTTAACCCAGTTTGTTTGCTTCATTAGGTTAGACTCCAATAATACACGTTTCTATATTAATTCAGTCCCTGTTCATTGTTGATAGACCTGTTGAGCAAAATAATCACTCAAATTATCAAAGTGATTTCTTTACTTTCTGTCGCTCATTCATCACCTCATATGTCATTATTAACCGAACTCAATTAAGTGATTAGCAAATCTATCACTATCGAAGTTTTACATGTGTTTATATTGAAAATATAACTCAATAACTATTTTCATGTAATCAATTCTCACTAGTTGTAGTTGAACTCCATCAGTTACTCATTTCCACTATACCGTTTGGAATTCATTTACAACTAGGATGCAGGAACAGAATATAGGATGTCATCACGATGTAAAAGTATCAATTTTAACAATATAAGTAAATGACCTTATGTGAATATCGAAACCGATTGAGTAATCCAAATATGTTACGTCTATCAATTTTCAATTTGAACGCTTTTTTCAGTGGTTTGGAAACTTAGTGACAATGAAATGGTGGGACAACTTGTGGTTGAACGAAGGCTTTGCAACATTTTTTGAGTACATGGGAGTGCAGTTACTACATCCTGAGTGGAAAGTAGTAAGTTGAGTGTTTTCCTTGAGGATATTATCAGTTCACTGTTTCATTTTGCAGATGTCTCTTGTCATTTCAGAAATGTTTTTCATAAAACTTCGACATACTGTTGTGAAGTGGAGATTTTTAGATGGATTTCTTATAATAAAGCTGGAAGATTTATTAAATTTTCAAATGGTATTTGAAGAATGCACTAATAACACGATAACTTTTGACCTTTCATTATATAATTGCGAATGTTTGATTTAATCTGGATAATAATGTTATGAATAAAACTGATTTAATTCTTTAATGAATAGGATGAACTATTCATACTGGACGAATTGATTCGTGTACTTGATAGAGATACATCGATGCAATCAAGACCAGTCATTTATTCAGCCAATACTACAACACAACTTAAAAGCATGTTTGATATATTCACCTATAGTAAGGTCAGTTCTGTATCAACTGTTAATTTGTCCTCATATGTGTTCTAAATTTTTATACTATTTAAATGACCGTCCAAGCAATGAAGATATCAAGCTGAAAAATGATATTTCTGTCAACGAGTAACTTGAGGTATTTCTCACACATAGGCACTTCTATAATTATCTCTCTTTCGTCATTTCAACTTTGTTAAAAGCACTATTAGTAGAATGAAGTAACAAATCAGATTTTCATAGTTGAATTCACGACCTATTCTGAGCTGAACCACCATTGCAGACCTGGAATGATTGATGAATCTGAATATTTGAGTACACTCTTAACAATCGAAATCATGAAGTTCATTATTCTCTCATATTTGCAATTAACAGAATTGTGTATGATGTTTAAACTTGAACTTTATATCTACGTCAAGACTACGAAAACCAGTATTTTATTTACACGATAGAAAACAATCATCGCCTGAATGATTGCATAATATTTGTTGGACCAAGTAAATGAAACGACTTTTAATTGAGCATTATGAAAAGATCGACACGTAATTATATTTCTCTAAAGTTCTTAAGTGAATCAACCAAACAATAGCACACGGTAATCTTTCACTTCGTGTGAATGCATTATAATGCGAAAGCACTTAGTGTCAAACCATGTGACATATTTTATTCAAAAACAATAATTTTACTAAGTGCATCTTGACTTAGGTATCCATTTGAAATAAATTCATTTGTTTCCTATTGTCGGCTGGACCTAAGTAAACTAAGTGACTAATCTAACTTACTTATACATTCATTCCGTGTTTCATATATATGTTAATATTCTACATTGCATTCGATAATTCACAGGGCGCCTCCTTGGTTTGGATGATGGAGAAATTCATGGGCCGTAACGCTTTTCAAAATGGTTTAAAAGTACGTTGACAGTGGTTATTTTGTTGTGACTGAGTGTCAAATAATCTAGTCTCAACAGTCACATTCAAAAGTGAACTGATTTCTTTTCGTTGACTAAGTATTTTAGAAGTTCTCTTCGAGACTATCCAATACGGAGATTCATCATATCATTTGTTTAGCTATGACTCGGTATTACACAACTCAACAGAACCCAGTAATGAATGATCACTACAATATTCAACACAAGTACTCCTTGACACGCTACAACACGTTTTTATCAACAGGCAATCTATTTAATTTCACAGATTGAAATCATGAGTCAGTTGAAGCTGGACCACCAAGGAAAACCTGGAAGCACTGGACGGCCGTTTCGTCCAAGTATGGGACGACTCCTCAGCAGTGCGCATCCACGATCCCGCACCACGAGGGGATCGAACCCAGGACCTACTGGCTTCGCGCGCGAGCACTTAACCACTAGACCACTGAGCCGGCATCCAACGGTGTTAATGTCTAACTTCAACCAATCCACGAAGTTGCGCCACCGTACTAGGACGAAACGGCCGTCCAGTGCTTCCAGGTTTTCAATGGTGGTCCAGCGTCAACTGACTCATGATTTCAATCTGTGAAATTTCTAAAATCTCCACAAAACCCATTCTGATAATAATAATCATCTGCTCACTAGTGACTGACTTCAGGAAAAACTCCCAAAGTTCTAGTGAGAAGCCGTTACCAGTGGAGTTCAGCCAGGTCTGTTGTGAGATAGTAACTCACTGAAGACAATGGTGTACGGTGGCGCAACTTCGTGGATTGGTTGAAGTTAGACATTAACACCGTTGGATGCCGGCTCAGTGGTCTAGTGGTTAAGTGCTCGCGCGCGAAGCCAGTAGGTCCTGGGTTCGATCCCCTCGTGGTGCGGGATCGTGGATGCGCACTGCTGAGGAGTCGTCCCATACTTGGACGAAACGGCCGTCCAGTGCTTCCAGGTTTTCCTTGGTGGTCCAGCTTCAACTGACTCATGATTTCAATCTGTGAAATTTCTAAAATCTCCACAAAACACATTCTGATAATCTATTTAATAAAAAGCTTAAACTCGTATGTCGTCATGAACAAATGGAAAATGCTTTTAAAATTAAATGTTGTCTGACTAACTCATAAACCATATTCACTATAGGTAAATCAGTGAGATATTTTATATCAAGTCGGTGTAAATGTAGTTACAAACAAATTATGTTAAACAGACTTCTTTCACCGTTATAATTTATAGATTATATATTAATGTTATATTCTCCTTAAGCAAGTACAGTTTATCTGTCATCCTCTGTCATCAGTTGCATTAACGTGGTTGAATATAAACGCAGTCTGGTTAATACAAAGTCTGGCTAGAAGGTTTAAATTCTATCATTTTATTCATGATTAATTGCAAATTGCAATCTTCAAACGCCTATATAATGTGTTTTTCTGTATTTGTTTAAGAGATATTTAATTCAAAACCAGTATGAGAACACAGATGAAAAAGACTTATGGAAGGCATTATCTGAAGTAAGCATTTTCTGATTATTACAATAATACAGAAACGTTTGGTGTAATGCATTTGATGGTGAATACATTATTACAAACGCATTTGATGCGATCCATTTTGTTGTTGAATTTGTTTCATGATTCCTCCTGATTGTGATGTATTTTTTTCGTTAGCGAAGATGAGTGTTGTCTTAAATTATATTCTAAATTAATCAAATATTTATGATGTGATCTGATGAATAATTTCGTGTTTGATATCAGTGTGTACTAGCTGTTCTTCAACACTGTTCTTATTTATTCTCTGTTCATATTCTGTAAAACGCTAAACTCTATGGTAGCGGTAGTTGAAGTCTCATCTACTAGGTCATTTCATCAAAATTAACTAGATTGTAATTACGATGATAAAAACTTAATAATTCTTTTACTGTTTGTGACATCTATGGTCACACAGCACGCTTTACCATGCTGAATCAAATTATTCATACATCTATTACATTCCCTATAAATGAATTTATGGTGCATGGTCTTGAAAAACGAGTAAATTTCACTGTTTTTTATTTCACAAAGTTATATGAAAAACTATTCTTGATCATAAAAGCATGTTAACTTTTGCGATTCTGTAAGATTATTATTCAAAGATATAAGGCTGATAACCTGATTATAATTTCGTTGTAATTGCATATCAGGAATGGAATACTGAAGAAAATCATCCAGACATTGGATTGATTATGGATTCATGGACTAAACAAAGGAGTTATCCACTTGTGATTGTAAAGGGAAATGGGTCGAATGTGTTCTGTTTTGAGCAGATGCGTTACTTTCAACACTATGATAACAATTCAGTTCAGACAATACATGAGTAAGTGAACTATATATTAATTTAGATAACACCTGTATTCAGATATTAAATATAAAGAAAAGTGAGCATGTAATGTATGCAATGTTTGTTATGGTGTTGAGTGCTTGTGATGTCGAGAGATATATGTGGTGTGCATCTTGGAGTGAAAGTGAAATGCCTGGCGACTGAATGTTCAGCAGATCGAAGAGAAGAGAAGGAGAACAGAGAATGATTAGTGTGGAAACGAAGGAACAATCAAGCTCCAGATAATTGATTGACACCTTGCAAATTAATTATTCACTTTATGATTCTCAATACATTATCATTGGGTTTAATAAGATCATTTCCATTCTTCAATTTAAATGACGGAATAAATTTAACTCATTGTGATTTTCAACCAACATTCCTTCCGTTTCTTACCTAATGCACTATTTGTTTAGTTTTCCGATGTGATATTTCACTTGATATAAAACTAATTTATTTTAGTGTGGTGGTCGTTCATAATACGGTATACTAGTATTAAAATAAAACGACCTTTATTCAGCATGACATGCAGCCTGTGATTAGTTAAAATTCTGGATATTTTTCATATATGTGATTTTATTCCAATCAGCAATCAACATGAGTGTACGATCGATGCATGATGAGTGTACTTTCTACAAGGATTGATGATGTATTTTTGAGATCAATAATCCCTAACGTGTTCAACTTCAGTGTTTTCAATTGGCGTCATGGGAATCGGAGTGATCTCTCTTTTTGTCAAGCATTAGGTGACACAGAAATAAAGGCTGTTGACGTGAATTTTGAAAATGTGAACGAATAACAATTGCTAACGTAGTCAATCTACACGTTTTGATTTTTTAATGTAACTGTTTGCTTCCGGTAATAACTCGTTTAACTGTACAACTTTCTACCAAAACCTGTTTTTCTGTTATAAATATACTTCCTTATCTCCATTCATCAAGTCACCGTTATAGAAGGAGATGTGGACATATCACCGATCACAACGGGTTCGCTTTACACCTCAAGATACTGGATTACACCATCATTCCAAACACATAAATATTATTATTATTCTATGTCAATTGTGAAATTATTGTAGCTGTTACACTTTGTCTGGCAAAAGGCGTTATTGAATGAGATTCATCAACATTATTGAAAAGATATCCACTCGAGTTATTAACATTTGGTGTGCCACTTCCTTACGGCCAGACTAAAATGTTTTTCATTATTATGTCGAACATGATTTATAAATTTAATATCCAGAAATCCCCTTCTCATACAATGTGTGCTGTTGAAACATATTTAAATTTAAATTTAAATCATAATATAGTAAACGAGTGCGTGGGGTCACCCCTATTATACTATATATGTTTTCATTCTAAATAACTAATGAAACAGCGACTACACTTTTTAGAACCGAATATGATGATCAGTGTTCACTTCGCACAACTAGAGTTGAGTTTATTGATAATAAACAAAATTATTTCTCACAGGAAGGGGGAGTAGTTTTTACTTTGTTGTTGATATAACTAATAAAAATCGAGACATCTGACATCTTGTAGTAAAGAAAAGACTCAGGAACAGAGGAACAGATGTGTGGAACAGTTTGACGAACACTTGAATAAGCCATCTTCAATGGATCCGTTAAACCTCAAAGCACCACCTACAGATCATCTTATAAATGTCACTCAACCAATGATAGGAGAAACCAAGTTGATCATCGGAAAAATCAAATGTGAGAAAGCAGTAGAACCTGAAAATATACTAGCTGAAACATCCAAATCAGATATAGAAGTAACTGCAAATATGCTTCACGTTCTATTCAAGAAAATTAGAGGGAAATGACAAGTGCCACTGACAAACTGAGAAAAAAGAATAGCACATCAAGATACAGAAGATAGACGATCTGAGCAAGTGTAAGAACTACAGAGGCATCACATTCTTGCCAGTACTAGAACTATTGTTGAACATAATGTTGCTAGACTGATGAACGTTTCCGTAGAAGCCTAACTGCAAGATCAACAAATTGGATTCTGTAAAGATCCGTCGTGCACTCCACCTCAAGTATTTGTGACTAACTATCTACACAACATACAAAACATCCGGTAACTGTAGAACAACAGCAACAGTCTACTGTGGGAGACAAAAATTCAGCTTTCAATGAAAGAGGAAATTAAAAATGGACGTCGAAAATGGATAGAAAATACATTGTGGAAATCATCGGATTTCATCATGAGGCAGGTACTAGTTTGGAATACTGAATGGAAATGGAAAATGGGAAAACAAAATATTAAACTGAATCGAGAATCATAAGCAGACATGAGAAAGCTGTGAAGGAACTGGAATGAATTGTAGTGGATTGTCCATGACAGAAGTGAATGGAAAATTCCGGTAGCAAGTCTACGCTCCTCCATGAGGTGGGGTAACAAGCGTAGAGGAAGGGATATTTAGTAGTGTATTGTGCTAATAAACAATCATTTGTATTTATGTTTGAAATCCAACTTGACCTCTATCGATCAACTAGCATTATCAACATGTGTTTTGTTATGGCATTCACTCAAACTTCCAGTTTTTGATTCTTATATTTGTACTTTTATAGCTTTTAATGTTCATTATTATGCGTTTTGCTTCTTTTAGACAACCCTGGATAATACCAATCACTTATGGGTCAGCACAAACGGTGAACTGGACAAATGCTGATATTTTGTGGATGGTGAACAGTAAGAAATACTATTTTCCGTTTTTATTAGTATAATTAAACACTAGACATACCTGTAAATACTTTGCGTCAAGTCCTGAAGCCAGATGGTCGAGTTGACGAGCTGTTTCCGATAAAGAGCAACGGTTGTCTTATCCAACAAGTGTAGAAATAATTTGTTAAGAGGCGAGTTTCAACCTTACATAGAAGAAAACGTTCATCACCACTTCAATATTAAATAGATGAGGTAAAAATAATCACTTAAACTCCACGCACTTATTCAGCTTTAACCTTCTATTCTAATTCACATGTAATTGCCGATATTACAATATTATGGACTTATTTCATCATTCCTTGCCTCCTTAAGGGAAAATGAATCAAATGATGAACATAAGCTCAAACGACTGGTATTTGGTGAATGTAAAACAAGGTGGATTTTATCGGGTTCACTACGCTGACAATAACTGGATTTTATTAACCAATCAATTGCAAAAGAATTTCACGGTTTGTTCAAAACACTTGTGTTTTTCACTGTTATAAATATCTATTCTATCAAATATTTTAAATTTAATCTTGATAGTAATATAAATCTTTTGTATATGCATACTTGTGAGAATAAATGTTGTAGAAATCGATAAACGATTCAGGATATTTCAATATGAACTAGTAAGAATGGATCTCGATTCATTGTGAATATTCAACTACAATCATTGATTTAAAATGTATTCATATGTGTCACACTAACATTTACATCAGACGGCATCGCCATTTACCAATTAATTATATGAAACTACATGTTACATAAAGTTTTGTCACTTGACATAGATATTTACTAACCTATATATTTGTCCGTTTACTTTCTGAAATACATGTTTACCTACACAGGTACTAAGGTATTTGTGTACTTACCTATATACTTATGCAATTACTTACTAAATATTTGTCGTTTGATTATTCTCACAACAACAAACTATTCTATTCTAACCTCTTTTCAAAATTTTGCGAACTGCTTCTCATTCTTTTGATGTATAGTGGCTGTTATTCGATAGAATCCTTAAATATTGTGAACAGTTCGGCCTGATAACGGTTGCTAGATAATGTCTCATACGCTTTATAAATTAGATGAAGAGTACGAATTATTGATTGTGTTTTTCTTTGCACGACGCACATTTCAGCAAAACCACAGACACACGAAACAAGAATGCAAGGCTTATACCGAAAAGCAAGTGAAGGAGTAGGCGTGCCATTCAAAATAATAGGTTTGTAATGTTTTTACATATACACAAAGCGAAATGAATTCTCGATGTGCACATACAAAACGAAGAGGAAAAGACAAAATTCACATCTGAAGAGGTGAAAAAACCTATTTATTCCAAATCGTAGCTATATACCTTTGTGACCAGCTCACTCTTCGACCATATCTTGTGGTCACCGGAAACGTCTATTATTGCTGCCTTAGTGTCGTTGATCCACGCTTCTCGTTGTTGTGACCATCTTTGAGGGTTTTGTACTTGTTGATTAGAAATCGCTATCAATAAAAGCTGGTTTCACTCGAACGATGCTGACTACATTCATCTTGCCAGGTTTTTCGATGATAACCGTCTTATCTGTCCTCGTATTTACTTTAAATAAACCGTCATAATTCGGTTGCAAAGGGGTTTTATATTATCTCTACTAATTATTACGTGAGTGATATTACACAGTTCCTGCGGTATGAACACTCGTTTTGTTGAAGTCTGTGAAGTGGGATTAGTAGCTCTTTCATGTGCTTCTTCGGATGTTACACGTGGTTTGCTACATTGTTCGGAACAGTATTTTCCTGAAGCGAAAGTTCTCCAGGTAAACGTACAGTAGTTCAATAGAACAACTCAGCTAGACAACATCCTATATCCTGTTTAACTATTGTTCTTAGACTCAACAATGCTAGAGAAAGCTTATTGACTCAATCGTTGTTGACAATGACAGATGCAAAGAGCGCTTTTAACTGCCTAGGCGGGTATTCAACCATTCCGTTTGCCATTGGATGATAGGATGTCTTTCGAATACGTTTAATTCTGAGGAGTTCTGTAAGCTGCTGGAAGAGTCGACTTTCGAATCAAGCTTCTCTATCGGTTGTGGTAATTGCTGGTACGGGATATTAAGAGATGCGATTCTCGACCAAGGCTTTGGCTACAGACTCGAATGAGGTTCCATTTATCGGTACCACTACAGGCCATTGTATATACCTATCAATGTATGTAAAACTATATTTGTATTCATTCGAAACTGTCAGTGGTCCCATGATATCGATATGAATATGTTGTAATCTAGTATCTAGGTGAGAACAAAAACCCTATGAGAAGCGAATATGACGATGTATAGGATTATGGTCCACTATGATAATAGTACTTCCCTAATGATGGGCCTGATACTAAAATTTTAGATTTTTCATGATTTACCTGTCTAATCTATAAGGTCTTACGTAGAAGTAACAATCTTGTCTACACTGTTTCATGGTGATGATTACCAATATATGATGTAGAACACGTTTGGGCTGGAGATAGAACATTATATTGAATATGAAGAAAAGTTATATAACAACACCAAATGATGACCACGCCTACCAGGCCGAGCTGGATGGAATGTTTGAGACCCATTTTATTGCACGTTACTTTCACCAGTTTTGTAACCCCCTCTAACAATAATTCGCATGAATCACTGCGGCTTTTATCTATCACTAGGGTTATGGAAACGGATTTCACGTTTCTCTTGTCGAAGTCGTGTGACTACCATTTACAAGTCTGTGATGCTGCGAGATCACTAGCAGATCGCATTTACACAAGAAATCGATTCCTGTTTTGAGAACTGATTCAGCTGCTACGACAACGTCTCAGCTGTACGAAGCGCCTCGTCAAAAATCTAAGAACAACTTTCGTATGCCGTGCGCCTTGATATCTGACGTGTTCACCGCTCTTAGCACTAGTAACGTAATAACGTTTTTTCATCTTCGCTTACTTCTCTGATTTCCGCTACCGTATGTACTACGAATTGAGCGACGGCTGCTCTGTCCTAGACGAAAACGATTGTTTCTAGGATCTATGTTTATTATCGCAGGCGTGACCGATGACCGATATGATCGTTTAAACTTGCTTTGTGATCTACAATTTGGAGCGTGTTTGAAGGAACCAGCATGCAGTAGAAGCTGAGTGTCTGCTTGTGCATGACAGACTTATATCTTTCGGTCTACCTTGTGTCCACATTCTTTGCCTGTTGTTCTGATAAAGACCCGTCAGTTTGTGGCATAGAACACTGTTCTCTTCTTGTAACGCATAGATTCTTTGTTCTGCCGTGCATTCAAAATAGTGATATAATAAATCGAAAATTTTGATTAGAAGGCTGCCTATGAACACACGAACTTTTTGATGATGATTGCTGTAGTTCTCCGATTTTTAGCTCAGTACATAAGAACTGCCTTGATGCTTGTATTGTATGTTCTGAATTTGATGTTAGCTGAAAGTTGTTTTGAAACTCAAATATGTACAACTCTAAGAATAGTGCCTTCACTGTGCCAATCTTTGCCTCCGCATCAAATCTCTCGAGTTGGTCGATCATAATTCCCAGCTATCTGAATGTTTACACACCTTCCAGAGCTTCTCCAACGAGTGATATTTGGTCCGTTTTCGCCATGTTTCAGTTGACGATTTTGCTTTTTCCTTTGTGAATGTTGAGGCCTAATGTTGTAGTGGCTGCTGATACACTGTCTGTCTTCACCTGGATTTGTTGGTGTGAATAACACAGTAGAGCTAAGCCATCAAAAATATTTCAAAATATTAACGTGCATTAGAGCTATCCAATTTGTTCTGTGCTTCTCCTGTGATGTGGATGTCATCACATTTCAGTTGACTTTCTAAATAGAAAGAGTTATAGTAGATATCTTAACATGACGATAACTCTTGCTACCCAGGAACTGCAGGCATGAAGAAAGCATAACTTTTTCAAACCCTTTTCAGTCACTATGATGGTTTCCTAAAGTCTAAATGGATTTTTCAAGCCTTCAAATATCTTACTGTGATACATCTTGAATTCATCGAGGTTGTCAGGATCACGTACAGAGATTATACTTAATATTTCATTGCGGTTATCTTGTTGTAAAGTGCTCCATCGACGTCAGTTTTCTCTTAGCCACAACCGTGTGGTTCTATCAATCCATATCAGCCACTCCGTTTTATCACGTATAATTTGAAATAAAGAGTTCCATTCAGTTGACTATCTAACTTTTACCTGTAGTGTTGCGATTTGATTTGCACACTTACGATCTTTATGAAATCCAGCATATTGATCTCAAAGTTGGGAGTCTACTTGATCTTATGTTCGGTTCAACAAAACTGTGTTTTTATCTTCTTGAATAGAACTCGGATCATTCTGCATGTATTTCTATGCCTGAATTCAATGTTTCAGCTGGTACGCTGGCTAATGCTGCTGTTTCGATGTCCAGCCATTTTAGTGAGACTGGTCTATTAGCGTTATCTCGAGATTGTTCAACCCACATGCCAAACAGATATCCATTCCTTGTGGTTGAGCACCTGACCCGTTTGATGTATTGATTTTATAATTGCTTTCAGTTACGCTTCTTGGTAGTCTATTTTCTTGGGGTGGATCTTGTAAGACATGGAGATTGCTTCATAGATCTATTTTGAATTCTTTGAGTTTATCATTATTTCGAAGAAACGCCGTAATATTACGAATATGAAATATATATATTTAACGCGGTGAACGTAAAAATAATTATTCCATCTTGTCATTCGTTTTATTAACTCGAGAACATACCAAATACGCAGAATTTCAGTGGTAGAAATATGAAGTGATTGGGAATATTAGATTCCACGCCATCTTCACAGCAGATCCGAAATATATGAAAGTTTTATATGAATAAAAGCGTTCAGTGATATGAATAAGTACAAAATAATTACCAAGGTTAAAATTGCACATTGGTTAACACATAATTGTTTGGCCTTGTGTCTGTCCTCGAATCGGTTTGTAAAGGCTTCGATGTGTGCCTAAGGTGAGTGAGATGTGACTGTCAAAGACGACGATTTAACATCACAATAAATCAAAATACCTTCAAGAATGTAAATCCGTGATTTTAGCTCTATACTTCGTATCTCACACTAAGATATGATTTGTTTGAAATCACATTCATTTTATAGATTGCATTTTACATTGCGACTCGATGTTCTACAAGGCATTTCGATTTTTATCTGATTTCCTTATGTCCAGGCTATTCCAGTTTTCGCACGAGCACAAATATTGAATGATTTATTCAGTCTTGCAAAGTAAGTGTGAAGTGGAAAGAAGCCAATTTCTTTTTTGGATGATATTTATTCTGTTACAAAATATCAGGCTGGTTAATTACTTTGATTCCAAATACCAATTGAAAACACGAAAAAATTGATGAAAATTAGCCAATATTAAAAAAAATTGAGCATTCGACATTTCATACCATTTGATTGTAAAGGAAATAAGTTTTTGAACTTGGATATTCTAATTGAATGCTAGCCATATTCCGAAATCGAATCTTTCAGAAATGCAAACCAGCACAACAGTTCGCAAAAGAGGCAAATTAGTTGGGAAAACGAATAGTTAGCTGGATTAAAAATTTATACAGTCGGTTGAACTGAAATCGGTAAACACATTGATGTAACGAATACTGAGACAGTTCAAAGTGAGGTTAAAAACACGTTTGTCAGAACTGGCGTATCAATTATAACCAGCCACTATGTAAACCCTACCATAATAAAATGATAGATTAGTATCATCTCAAAGAGTTAACATACTTTGTACGCTATATTGCTGAAAACGTCTGTTAACACCACATTAATAGAACACTGTCGTTTGCTTACTCGTTTAATACAGATTTAAAAATATAACATTTTGGGTGGAGTAATTACACCGACATGTAAACGAAGAATACTCTTTTCAACAAATTCTCTTCATGTTCTGCAATCTCATATCCAAACTAGTAGTCCGAAAAGTATGAAGATATTTCATAGACGTTGTGAATACTAAGAAATTCAAACTGGTGTTTACGAGATGTTTATATAAACTGAAATATTAGTTAAAGCCAAAGTTCCCACATTCAGATTCCTAGGTATTTATGTAAACTTTAAGATAATATAGCGATAGTTTAGTATAATCCCAAAAAGTCAACATACACTATACGCTATATTGTTGAAAACACCTGTCAATACCGTCGGCTGATTACTTATTTAATATTGACTGAAAATATAACATGTCGGGTGGAGTAAATAAACAGACATATAAACGAACAATACTCTTCTCAACAAATTCTCTTAATGTTCTACAATCACATATCCAAACTAGTAGTTCGAAAAGTATGAAGATATTTCATCAAAGGAAATTACACTTCCAACGGTATCATTTTTGAAAGCTGCATAATCGTATTTATAGGTGATTTATTCATGTAATATTCTACGGTAAAGTGGCGGCGTTTCACATATTTGTCAAGGATAATCAAACTTATTCATGTGGGAGTCAAAGAAAGTAAATTGAGTTTGTGTGATGGAGTGAAGGTTGTCACCTTGTTTAATGGATGCTGAATTTATGAGAGCTAATGATCGATTAAACAAATGTTAAGCATACCGGTCTACTTATTCAAAGAAGAGAACGAAAAAGGCATTAATTAGCACGTGCAAATTGCGAAATTCGAAGAAATGCTAAAATCATGAAAGAATAAAGCACTGTGCATAAGTCTTGTGTACACGGAGTTCGAGTTTGAAATGGTGAATTTTTTCAAACTCAGTTGTGAATAAATTACTCAAACAAGTCTTTTTGAACCTATTTTTTACTTTGCAGTTAGCTCACAATCGTCTATTCTGTTCTTCTTTGGCCTCCTTTTCAGTTGTCATATCGTACCGTATACTCTTTTCCTGAACGCGACAAAATATTTAAACCACGAAGATGAGTTTATTGTATGGATAACAGCTAGTCGAGCGCTGCTCTACATCAATAGCATGTTTGCTCTGAATGAGAATTATGACGTTTTCCAAGCATACTTGCAAACTCTTATCCATAACCGAATTCGATTAGCAAGTCGGTCATTTGTTGGTACAAGTGAAGATGTTCAGAAGACGTGAGTAATGATAATTCTATTTCGTATGTCTTTATTCTGTCATATCAGTAAATCACCCAGTTTTATCTCGGAAACCGTTTATTCCGAAACAATCTGTATGGAAGATATTAAATATGAAATGATGAAATTAACAGTATTGGTGACGGGACTGCCAAGTTACGGTTTCCGAGAGGAGTGACATTCTTTCACAGAGAGTTGGAATGTCTGAAACATAATAATTATAAAAGATTGGTAAAGTTGCACTTCAAATTGTGTGTTCCTATAATTAGAAACACACTTTTATTGCCCGATTGAATTCCATAATCGACTGTAAATAGGGCATAGTTATAATATGATTGCTTCAATTCCATCCATTATAAACGGTTCTAATCGGATGCTCAAAGTTGTACTTTTTCATAGTAAAAACTCAGACGGTGCAACTATCTTGCGAAAACGTCCGTAACTTAAGAAGTAAAGGCCACATGAATTATATTTGATACCATATTATACTATCGTTGGTCAATTGGTTTTAAGATGAATTGTATTATCAAGTTTCTCTGCGAATTAATTTGTTACGTTATGAATAGTTATTTCTTGTTACACCTATAACCCTGAAACACACACGGAGGGAAAATAAATTCCTATTGGATTATTTCAGTGAATAATGTTAACGTAACTTTTAAGCTGGTGAAAATCCTGACATGTGTTAAAACGTATGGATATATCATAGTAGTACGATATAGTGAACGATAACAGCTTGCCGTTAAAATGAGATGAAAAAGTTATATCATCAAAAAATACAGAAATCACAAGCTCGTCCATGTTGTGCAAACTGGTGAATTAAATGACATTCGATTTTTCGTAAAGAGATTACAAATCAGGCTTCGGGACGATGCAACATGTGGGAACATTTTTGATGTGAAGACATTAAGTTTCAGCTACAAAATCGCAGCACTCTCGAATCATTTGGATAAACCGTTGTACTCATTGAACATATTCAGGCATCTCCGTGATATTTTATCTCTATCAAATATCTAAATAACTCAATGATACTAAACGCATTAGTATAAACAAATTACGTATATACTTATACATATTTACTAAAGTATTACATAACTATCCTTCCACCATTTACTTCATTTTAGACGTTTAGACTATAGTATGATCAAACTCGCTTGTATAGCTGAACATCATCTTTGTGTGAACAAAACTACGGATCTCTTTAGACAATGGATGTCAAAACCGGAAACGAACCCGTTAGTCTTGCAATTAATGGTTTTTAATAGACCTTTATATTATGTTTAACGTTATTTGAACTAATTTCTAAAACGCAGCTTAAAATAGATTGTGTTATCAGTTTTTGTTGCTAAGGTCAGACACGAATGCATGGATAGTTTATCAATGTTATGTTATCCTGCGTGTAATGAACTAATAAGTCAGTAAGCGTAGTGGGATAGCTGTAAAATAGATGTATATAGTAGACGGATGATGTGTGCTACCTGAATTTGTCGATCAGTCGACAATAACTCTCTTGTGTGAATAAGAGAGTTTTATTTGCGGAAAATCTTCGAATTAACTGATTCAACCTTTTTTCACCATTCTAAACAACGCACTCCAGCTTATGTGTTATATTTTAAAATGAAGCATCTACTAACTATAAAATATCCAAGTGCATCGACGCTGTTCAATGTGTTCCGTGATTCTCCTGAGATGTGGTTGTTGTCACGTTCCAGTTAATTTCCGGAAAGAAGAGCAAGAGAATAAGCACTCAGCCTTGTATGACACCGATTTTCACTTGCTATTCACCTAACTGCTGTCTACCATTCGTGGAATTGAATTGTGTTCCGTAGTCTGGATTCCGTTTGATGCTGACAATCTTTCTAGTTACAGTACACTTTGAAGATAATTTTTATTGTTTCCACTATCTTCACTGTCAATCACTTTTTCATACACAAGGAATTTGTTTATTAATGAAGGATTCCTTCAACCAGTTGCTCAACATTGATCTATTTATCGTAATTTCGTCCGTGCACGACCGATTGTGAGGAACCGTGCCTAGTTGACTTCAAAGTTGGTCATTATCTGAGATATTCCACTAAATAAAAGTCAGACTTTTTGATGTTTCATGGCCATTATCAAAGTCTCTTCTTCAGAGAAGATAATTTACTGGAGCTAAATTGACAAAAGTTCAAGTAGTATGGAATGATAAGTCAGCATATTTGAGCTCAGATTCTGTTTTGCATAGTCATATCTACCTTCAGCGACCTATTCTGCTTTCATGGAAGTGCCAAAGTGTGTTGTTGTTGATGGAATCCGGTCAACTGATATTGACTGTCATGTACGGACAACTGTTTATGAACACATCTAACCTCTGGTGATGGTTATAAAAGTTTTGTAATTTTCAGCTCAGTACACTAGAACTGGCTGGACGTTTGTATTGCAGATCCTCAATTTACTCATATGACTTCAACTGTAAGTTTAGTGTCGTTACTTTGCCGATCCCCCCCCTCTGCATGTCATTCAGTAAAGGATCTTGCTTATTCATTTCCGAATATTGAGGACTACTGCTGTAGAGGCTGTTGCTACACTGAATGTCTTCATCTGCATTGTTGGTAAGCACGATATGGAAGAGTTAAGTCATTTACTGACTTCATAATATTCAAGTGAATCGAAGCTGCCCAATTTGTCCCGTGCTTCACTTGAGAATTGGTTGCTGTCATATTTCAAATAGCACAGGTAAGCAGATGTGTTTGATTCCGATCATTACTTGCAATTGATATGTTGTTTGCCTTCCATGCGTGAAATTGCATTGCGTTTTCTTTTCTAAATAAATGTTAAGTAATGTTTTTGTCCACATTTCATTTGTTTTACAGCATACCACCTGATTTGAGATTCATTACTTATTGTACAGCTATTCGTCATGGCGGTCAAGAAGAATGGAAATTTTTAGAAAGTCAGCTGATGTTGAACGATCTTGCAAATGAGGAAGATACTGAAGACAAGATGTCGGCGTTAACGTGTTCTCGTGATACAGAAATTATGAAAAGGTAAGTTATTCTGTTACCTTTAACTTAACACTGTCACATCTGTTAATGAAAACGGTCACGCGACTAGATGTTTGGAATCTCCATTCCTATCAATTAATGAATATGTTCACAGAATCTAAATCCGCTTGTTATAATCAAACATTTCACAAAGCGTGCATGATATTTTTTGAAATTATGTGTGACAATGAGTATAATTGAATAATTGGAAAGATACATGTTTTTATTCCTCGAACGATGATTGAACAACAAAACGCTGTCAAGTCGAATGAAAGTTTATAACATAAGCCTACACCAACTCATTATCAAATGTAATAGGACACATGACGTTTTTTTAATTTATGGATAAAACTACATAAAACTAGATCACTCATATTTCTGGACGGAGTCTATCAAGTATCATCGAGTGAACACGACAAATTTGAATCATTGATTCAAACCCAATTGGTTTACATTGTCAACTTCCAATAATTCGCTTTTATATCATAATTGACTTAAATTTAACTCCTTGTGGATATAGTGAGAACAGTAGAGTTTCACATGTGGATCAACAGCTATCATCATGATATAGCACTGACAAAATCTCAGAGTACACGAATGTCTAAAGTCAACTAAAACCAATCGATTAATACTGAGCAAATGTTTCTCAATTCAACAACAACGTTCACTGACAAACAAAATTGACATCAGTGGGATTACTGATATCAAGACGTATCACGAAGTGCTGATGCGATGACCGAAGTCTTCAGATCTACAAGAAAAACCACCGATAATATACATTCGTCATGTGTGCGACACACTCGTCATCATCGAAAAGATCGAGCTTAAAATACGTACAAATAAATCAACAACATCTCCGACGGGATAGAATTAACAATGTAAAAGAGTAGGAATCGTCGTCAACTCCAGGCATTTTGGCTGTAATCTCATCCGTCAAATTGTTGTGTGTGCTACTTATATTGACATAAGTAGTACATGATGTTAGTCGTGAGCAGAACGTCTGGCAGCAGAGAGACAAGAGGATCAAACAGTAAAAAATGGAAACAGGGTGCAATTGGGATGGAAATGCAAGAACAATGAATTCTGAGTCATTTCGAGACAATTGATGGACATTTTGCAAATTAAGCATTTACTTTATGATTGCTAGATTTTATTAACAAGTCCTATGATTTTGAGTTAAATATATTCGATTGTCCTCACTGGTGTTCTTGTTCACTAGATTTGGTGTCGCTGCCAATCAGGAGGAGTAGGGTGCTGTTCTTCGAAGGCCGTTGCGGTCCTGCAGTCGAATTGTTTGTTTGGGCAGTCGGCTGAAGTGTGGCCTATCAATGGAGAGGAGCGGTAGGACGTGCCGTTCATGGGCTGACATCGGATTCGGATGACTTAGTACGACTGTTAAGCGTCCCAGATGCCAAGGTGATGTCGAATGTTGTTTCTTTGGCAGGTCTACGGAGCCACGTGTGTCAGTGCGCCACAGACTCGACATTTTGTGTTAAATACGTTTGATTATCCCCACTGGTGTTCTTGTTCACTACAACAATATATTTTTGGCCCTCATATCAATTTATCCTACAGATGTTAATGTTTATAAGATTAAATTAGCTCATCACACCTACTTAGCTTAACATTTCTTCCATCTTTTCATCAGGTACTTAGAGCGGGTAAGAGAGAACAAGAACTTATGGTTTACACTTGACTATTTTTCAGAGTCTCCAGTTGGCAACCAATTTTTATGGGACCACCTGAGTGATGTAAATAACTTTATTAAATATAAGTGAGTCTAAATTTCTATTGAAAGTGAGAAAACGATGTCATATTAATGTTATAAGGTAGGTTGTGCTTGTTAACTTCAGACGTTTGCGTTTTGCTTGTGAAGTCGTATAGTATACATTATATGTAGAAGATAGATTGAATACCAATGTCATGGAATGTCAGTCCTTAATCAAGGAGATTTTGTGGCCTTTTTCATTTATACTTTCACATATGAAAAATTCCACCGAAAAATTCATTTATTTGATGAGCATAGTAATTTATTTCATCGAAATGTTTCAACAAATGTAATTTTAAGTTGATAAACATATAAATAAACACTTAGTACAAGGATTGGCAAACTACATTAAATAACACATTTCATCTTCATTTTTTTACTCACATCCACTGTTTTGATGTAAACAGTCGTTCTGATAGAAATATGCTGACGTGTCCTATTAAGCGAGCATGATGTTCGACGTCATCGTTAATACATAAAGCTGTTCTGCAAATTGTATATCAGCATTAAAAAATCTGTTGGAATGGAACAATATACAGGCACCTCTGTCGACTAACATTAATGCTGTTAGTTAACTGACCTACACTTAGTTCTTACAGTCAGCAGCTGCCTGATATATATATATATATATATATATATATATATATATATACATATATATATATATATATATATATATATATATATAGAGAGAGAGAGAGAGAGAGAGAATTGATTCGACCAGTTGTGCACCTCTGAAACAATTACCTCATAATTTCTACTTATTTCATCATGATGATTTACTTAGGTTATTCGTTTATTTCAGAATAGGAATAGTTTGATTGAACAGGTTGATTGTCCAGTTAACGCGACCTTGCAAACTAACCAAAAGCATATTTTAAATTTTACTTCACAGAGACTTTACGAAATTATTAACAAAAACACTAACTGAATATCCTTACTCAGTGTTTAGTGGAACAAAACATGAAAAGGTTAGTTGAGAGCCTATCTATTTTCCATAAACATGCACATGTTGCTTTGTTTCGTCCCACATTCACATATACTATTATTATGTAATTTACTTTTTCCAATATGATCATCTAGACTATTTTGTTAATGTTTGGAAGCACACACTCCATTAATCGTTAACAGTTTCAATGAAGCTAAACTGAATAAAAGGGAAATAATAACATTGAGTGGTTGAACGTGGTTTGTAGGGTGCCCTAAATCTAACATCCGTGTTAGGTATGATTCGTCGAATATGTATTTTTGCGATCTGCGACCCGAGATATTATCGCTAAATGATTTGAACTCTAACGTCAAGTGAAAATCAACACGGTGTGGAACTACTCATACCAGTTATTACACTTGAGTATATTGTCAAAGATGCGATCAGTACCAGGAGCCAGATAACAGGAATCATCTTACTATTCTGCTAGGATTCGTTGGTATTACTTATATGTAAATTGTAGAGTGAGAATGATACGATATAATTGCACAATATGCGTTTCTTGCTCCATTTCTACACTGAGTCCTGATAATGAATCTTGCGATCATCAAGTGTACGTTTCGTAATTTAAGAGAACTAACTCGACAATTATACGACGTCTCATTTTTCATACACACTGTATTTAAACAAACTCAGTCATGATATATGGCTAAAAATATTCTCTGGAAACAAATCTTGTGTTTTCGATTGCGTTCTCCACCTGAAACGTTCCTTGCACAGTACAATTGACATTTTAATCTGCAAACCCTCTTTCGCAATTCTAACGTATAAAGGAATGTGTGCAGAATCTACACAAAATTTCCGAAACAAGTGTAAAAATGTTTTGTCATTAGTCGAACACTTATTATAATCCTACATAACTGATCGATTTTCACTATTTTTCATTTCAAAATTAAACTGTCAAGTTTATGTACTGCCTCCACATAAAATGTGCATAAAATGACTTCTTCATATTTGCAGATCCTTGTAACAGAAGCTAATCATCAGATAGATCCTGAACTTCGAAAAAAGATCGATTATTTAATTCACATATCCAGAGAAAAATTGAAATGGACTGAAAACTATTCCGACGTTATTATTCAGTGGTTGAATGAAAATATCCCGGTATTTACCTTTTTATCATAGATAATGAAAATCAACCAATTAAGCACTAATAAGCTATACGAATCGAATCTTTTAACTTCCGTCGTTGTTGCCGTTGGTACTTTTTATTCTACTAAGCCTTGGGACACTTATATGTTATTCCATACTCACACTAGTACTTTGAATGTTTGCTTGTAGTAACTCGTAGTAACTTTGGTTGAATATTTATGTTTATCTATATAGCACTGATGGTAGAACAATTTTGTTGTGTGTTTCGATTCTAAATGTTTAATATTCATAATGTGAAATAAAAAGCCTCGAGTATGAACAAACTTGTTTTTGTTAATCAACGAAATATTGTTCTTTAAAAGTACATAAAAAATAATTCCGACAAATTAAGTCGGATGAAATGGGACTTTGTTTCACAGACAACCGATTAACGTACAACAATATTCCAATAGAAATATTAAGTGAAGTCTAGTGATGGAAGGACTGCAATTAAATGTTAAGCTGTGTTAACAACATCTGATTGATTTCAAAAACAAGAATGATTAGCCATTTAACAATTGAATCGAATAACTTTTTCCTAATTTCAAATTAAACTAACTTATCCAATGAAGTTTCTAACACATTGTCAATGTTGTTGAAGTCCGTCGCATTATATCGAATCGCGTCAGTTTCCGGAGCAGTTGTTCGTTTATCTGCTACCCGTTTGCCGATGACGCTGCAGCAATAATGTATATATATATATAGGCAATCATTAATTGACGGTACAAATGCAGAGGATCGATAATAAATCCATAGATGTTTCCCCGTGACACAATCTATATAGTTTGAAACATATGTTAAGAACCACACTCCATTCGACAGGCTCAGAAGCTAAATTACTCAATTGCAAGACTACTTTCAAATAAAATGGAATAAAATCATTTCTAATATTTATTATTCCTGATGGTGAATAAAAGCGGAATGTCGGTACGCCTGAATAACCATTCGACAAGTTTTCTGGAAGCCAGAAAGAGGATGAGAATATTTCAAACAATGTGAAAACACTACTTGGACTTCTAGGAAATTGACTGGTCATGTCGTAAACTCTAAATCTTTGAACACTTACTTTCCGTCTTAAGTAGTATGTTTTCAAAGACTTCCAAATTTCAATGACAGTCAGCAGACCTATAGGTATGCCCATATTTTGAGATGGTTGAGAGGATGTTTAGCTCAGGTGGATGCTGTTAGTAGAAATTGGTTCTCTGACTAGGATAGCTTTAATGTGAAGTTTTAATTGTTCACCTGAACAACATCAACAACACAAACGTCAGGTAGACGTAAGGTATTCGAATTTTTCCACATATGGTTAACAGCTTGACTGGACACTGTTAAATTGCAACCACAATGATGCTTTAATTCAGTATCATGACTTGGACTTTAAAGATGACTTCGCTAATCTATCCCATATGCAACAAATTCCTACAGCTGAAGAACATATAGAAATTTAAACAGATATTTGTAAGACAACATGAAATTCATAATCTTCAGAACAAATTTTAAGACAATTTTACCATACGGAGCTGGGACTTAGAGAACTAATGCAAAAATTAGTAAAACAGTAAAAGTGTTTATATGCAATTGTTTACATATGATACTCAATGTCCGTTGGATGGATAACATCAGCAACAAACCAGCTTCCAAATGAAGAAGAAATTAAGAAAGGTGTTGCGAATGGATAGAGGACATATTTTGCAAATCATCAGACCACATATTTAAGCAATCCTTGACTTAAAATCCTGAATGTGAACGCAAAAGATGAAGACCAAGCCATACTTATAGTCGGGAATTACAAGCAGACAGCAAAAGTGTGAATGGCAACTGAAAACAGCTGGATGGAAACGCTTAGGATGGAATTGAATGGAGAATGCTGGTGGGTGGATTATGCTTCCACACGACGTGAGGTAACAATCGTAGGTTAGTTGGTTCACGATCAAAATCTAAAGTTTCGCATGCATTTTGTGCATTTCGATTCAAATCAGATGAGTATGATGCGTTATCTTCAATCACGTCATTTATCATTTATGTCCATAGAAGATATTACCACCGAAGGATCTGATATTCACAAATCAATACTTGTTTAAGGCTAACTTCACAGCGATAATATTTTGTGGTTTATGATTATACCACTGAATGAATAAATTAAGAAGACATATTCCTGTATAAAAAATCACATCTAAAGGCTCATCCGTTCATTTAAGAAATAATTCTTGTTAGTCAAGTTCAGGATCTTGTTTTTAAAGTTTTACTTTTGAAAAGAGATCTCATAACATATTTTCAATTATGGAATTCGATAAATTAAAGGTTGGCCTGGCTTCATCGCTAAGGTTGAACCTTGATGAGAAAAAAGGAACTTCTGTGAAACATAAACAACAAATAAACGAAGAATCTACGATACCACTGTAGTTAAAAAATTCGATGATTTTATATCACACATAATAATCAGTAATTTAACATGAATCAGACCTTTCATTGACTAGTCGTCTCCTGTTTAATTGTTAAAATCATCATAAAAGAATTACGAAATTTTCGCGTTTTGCAACCTAAGTGAGATCAGATTCATGCTAATGAGGTCAGTCTACCATGTGCACAAAACTTGATGCCGAGTGAAAACATGGTTTTATTTCTAACATGTGAACTGCATATTAGTTTCAAAACGTCTTTACTGCTGCACTGGTTACTTTCTGTTTGAAGAGGTTCTAGAAACACTCTTAATGTAATATAAGTAAATAAATTATGTGTAGAACAGAACATTCATGCATCTAATCATACGTCTTTAAACAGATTATGCTTATTTATTACTAATCAAGGTAGTTTTGTTGATTTAAATAGTTTTTTTTTCAAAAATCGACCGAAAATACCTTTTTTAAACCCGAAAAATTTACTTTTCAATCGTCTAAGGGTATTCGGATGGAACTTCTGGAATTTACTTTCATCATCTTATCCAAGTAATCCCAGGAATTCTTAAACTAGACGTTTTTGTGATTTAGGTATTCAAGAATTAACATTTTGTTGAGGTATCTCTGTGCTGAAGCGCTACTCAACCTGCATTTAACGTTCAGATGAAATATTAAGAAAGTGAATACGAAACAGTATTCGTTTAACACATTCAGACATTTCATCAGTTAATAACCGATCACAGTTACTAGTTGACAATTCAGATTTGAATTATCAAATCTCAATATTCAATCAAAGTTAAGTAATATCTAGTCCACAAAATGTATGATTTCGGTTTGAAATCACTGCCTTACACAAATTTGCTGTTATTTGTTGACAGTTGGTTTCGCGTAGTTTATATATCATAGACTTGTGTCAGTACGGAATTATTCATTGACAGTTTTTGGTTATGGATGAGATAAGAATAAATGTGACACAACACTTGATTGTCTTTTTTGAAAGTCAGAAGTGATAATAAAGTTAAGATTTCAAAGGGTCATTTTATTATGCATTTATTTATTATAACGCGTAAATATTCGTACAAGGAGGCACCAATCACATATGCATCACACAGTACCATTGAGGTTTGGAAGAGATGGAGAACGGAGAGTGAGTAGCGAAAAAGAGACGGAGAACGAAGACAAATTAGTCTCTGAGAATGAAATAATAATTCTAATAAGAGAAGAAATTCAGAAATATTATTTTCAATTAAAAAGGTTAAGGTCACTTTAATGAAAAAAGCGGAGTAAAGTTGCAGTGGGACTGCCACCAGCTTCTACTCTGAGCCATGCCTGATGGCATCTCATGCTACTGTGTTGCACCAAATGCAGTTCTTTAAACAGGGAGTCGTAAAAGTGTAGCACAAATCTGTCCTGTACAACTTTTCTTCATACCACAAAACCATGCCATACACTACCATATCTCCGCCTTTTCCAACCGATCACAGAGTCGACAAATTATGCACGAATTGGGACTCTCCTGGAAGAAATTTATAAGACATTTCAAAGCCGCAGAAATCGATTTTTTGAGATAGTGATACTAAATGAAATATTGTCGTTCTGCCCAAACACGCAGTGCCAAACCTCTGCTTTATGTACTACTTAAACAACTAGTGAACTAGTATACTTAAAACTTTCTTTTATCACATGTTTGTTTTCTGCAAGTTTAACGTTATTACTTATATCAAATTGATCATGCCTGTAAACTGGCGTGAATTCTGTAATTATTATTTTTCAGAATATAAATTAATTATTATTATTTATAGGTTAAGCGTTAACACTGGATGTCACTAAGCATTTGAAGACTACGACGTTCAAACGCAGAGAATCATGCAATATCCTCAAATTGGAGAAGCCAGATTTCACATGCATATAGCAAAACTGCTCTCTCGCGAAGGCTCAGATTGGAATAAGCAGCTCTGCCTTTCACTATAAGTGAACTCGTCACTCAAACCGCTACTACCACTCACTCAGCAACGTAGATACACGAACGTTTTGACTAGTTTTACCTACACACTACCCAGAGTGAGTGCATGATTTAGGTCCTGTCAGTCTTGTAAATGTAATTAGCACTTGGAAGTTACAAGGCGCATACCATATCTACGGGTGCTGACTGCCAACTATTTAAATACGGACTGCATGGCTTGAGTATCATCTCATAATAAGACAATATCATCTGCATACTCAAGGCCGAGGAATCTTTCTCCAGGCAACAGATCCTCACCACCATTGCCTACATTCATTTGAGCTGTTTCCAGAAAGCCAATATTAGCAAAAGTGAAGATGAATGATGTGATTGTGCATTACTGCCTAAGAGGACATTCCCGTCCAAAGAATCGAAGACAGCCATAAAATCACGAAGAATCACGATTATCGGCCTGTAAGAAGTAGAAAGTTATTCTAACATCCAGGAACGTTGATTCACAGCTCTTCAGAAGTTGAATTTTTTAGCGGACTTCTGCCTCGTCAAGTGGATTAGTCGCCACCTGGGATGTACGTTAGAACACTCTCAGTGATGTCACTGGGGCATTAGACCACTTGATCTACCTCTCATAAAACTCTGATCATCGTCTACGATGTTGATAGATGTCACTGATTAGCATATCATCAGCTTCACCGATAGTTTCACTCACACCGGATATGCATCGGTGTACGAACATTGATGGAGGCGAGCTTAAACGATATATGTGGTTTCAGGAAAGTTGGTTCAGTATTTATAGTTCGTGGTAGCCTTGAACTTGCGATCAGTCAGTGACTTGAGATCATTTATACAGGACAAGATTTCCACCATAGGTGCGCTTTTGTAGAAGTTGGAAAGTAAAGGAAGGCACAAAATGAGAAGAGAAGGGAGTAGATAAGTGACGTAGTACAAAAAACTAAGAACGAATATTATTGCATGACTATAAATGTGATTTGTGTGAATGCGATTTGGGGCATGAATACTTTTTCCAGTATTAATCATCATCTGATATGTTTGAGGTCCGAGACATAAAGTCTTGGGTTAGTGATTAGATACTCACTTTTGAAAAACTGCAAACTGAAGCAAAATAGCTGTTCTGTGTTAAGTTGTTTCTATTAGTTAATCTTAGTCACTGACGGTAACAACGTTGATAAATGATCTAAATAACAACGTAAATAACAACGGAGAATAAATATCTGATAAATTAACTTCTAATTATTTTTCTAGTATATTATGCCACTACTTATAATATTTAGGTCACTAAAGAGCATCAAAAAGCATAAACAAAAAGGTAGTTTGATTTATGGATGGTTTTGATTTTATTCAGCGATTTTGTAATCATTTCATTTAGTGTAAATTAAAGGAACAGAGTAGTCCTCATTTAATTTTTTATGTATCAATATGGTTTTCGAACTCTGTTATTACAATGCAACGAGGAAATCGATATTCAGTGTTTTTTCAACTGAAATGATACGCTGTGAATCTCGTTCCAATGTAGAAGTGCTTTGATCATCCAAACCTTTTGCGGTATTGACAGTAATATGACCATTACACGAAACTGGAAAATGCTGTCGTGGCTGCTTTGATAGTAAGAATAATTATATAATGTTAATTTATAATTTTTCGTAAAAATAAAGTGGTCACTACTGAGATGACAGCTAACAAGAAACATGAAATAATTACTTGCATGGATAACAGTCATCAGTTGGTCTTTAAATTATTTCATTAAAGTAGCTAACAAATAATCTTGTAGAATCTTTTGTTTGGTATCGCGAGGTTTACAGAATGTACAAAAAACCTTATCAAACGTTATTCTCGACTTGCTGAAATTCACAAGCGTTTGATTACGTTTAACGAGGGCTGATTTATTCATCAAACTGTACATTACCCGGTCATTTGATAACCAAATTGTTAAAAATGAAGTAAGGAGAAACTGTGATATCAGGCCAATTTATTCAAACGAGTCATAAACCTAACATCTTTTGACTAAGTTCTCAGGAATGATGATGAGATTTATTGTGCAGTTTGATAGAACAACGTACATTCTGCTGATGAGAAACACATCTTTGTCTACAAAAAATTGCAATCATTTAGTTGGTGAGAATACTTATGAAACGAACAGCTAATGAAGTTTACTAAACTGACCTACTAATTCCCTGCTTCGCAACCCTGTTGGCGTTCCATGAATACATTCTTCCTTTATGACATACATTTGATAACAAATAGACAGAAACTCTAGTTAACATTATTTTCATGTAGATATTTCTGCATATACTTGATTCTCTTAGTATTAAAAATTATCTAAAATACTATTACAAAAGTATATATATTTTAAATTGATGTATTCCATTTAAAAATGAACTGAAATTCACCAAAATGCCAGCTTGAAGATTATCGAATATCTTCCCAAATGGATACTTATTGTTCAACGACATAGTGTTTGAATTAGTATTGATGTATTTTCATTGAAAAAACAACAATCATTGAAGTGTTATAGCATAACTTACCACAAATCTTTCTGTTTATTCCTTGAAAATAAGCTATCGAATACTATGGAAATTCTCAAACACAAACTAGAAACTATTCTCAATTTTTTTTTTAAAAATGTAAAATTCTATTTGTCCAAATGATTTCCAAATATATGTAGAAACAATTATCTAATTTTAACCATCCATAAATTAAAGATGATTCTTTACAAAAAACAAACAAACTATGAATTTTCATCATAATTGTTACTTTTTCAATGATTTTAGTGATAAATTAAATATCAGTTATTTATAGACGGATTTTGAATGTATTAAATGGAAGAATATATATTGTAAACAACATTCATATGTATATAGACATGCACTTCTAATATTTATACATTCAACCTTGTAATCAATGTGGTTAATTACTAAAAAGGAATTGGTTACCATGTATTTTTTGGGTAATATTTTCTTGTATTGTTGTTGCTGTTGTTGTTTATTGTTTATTTGTTTGGGTATAATTTTGAAATCAAATCTGTTACTTTCTCTCTCTCTCTCTCTCTTTTTATCTTTCTCATGATAAATTTAACTTGAACCAATTTTTTTTCATTGAGATTTATTAGTTAACACTATCAGATCTATTCTTGTTAGAATTTTTTTTTAATTATTATTTATTTCATAAAGTCAAGAAAGAGAAAAGGGAAAAAAAAGACAGAACATATTGAATGGTATATATTCTTTTTGCACAGAATATGATTTACATTAAACTGAATGTTATATATATGTGTATTATTCATTGTCATTTATCTTTATTGAATTCAGTTGTTGTAAATTCATTTCATTCGGTTACTTTGGTAAACAAACAATAATTGTTAGTGATGAATATGAGGATTTTTCCTGTGTATATTATATTTACATGTGAAATAATTTTAGGTAAGTTAACAATGATATATGAATATGTTTATAAGTAATCGTATCAAAATTCTATTGTTTTATATATTATGAGTGTGAGTCATTTTATGACTGATAATAGGATATATCAGGATATCATTTTAATGATGGGCACTGTAAATTATGTGGATTTCAATAATGTTATAAGAGGTGAAAAATATCAGAGCTATGTGATGTCATAACAAAATACATTTTGAACAATTCGATTAGATGCATAGTTGTTAAGAACATTTATACTTGGAAATATAAATGGCGAATTAGGCAAATGAAATAGAAAAGAAAAGAAAGATCATAAAGTTTCAATACGGAATTTTAACTTGATAATTTTAAGTATATTGAGCATTGGTTGGAATGTTAGTTGTATAATACCGAGATATTTGTGATATCTCAATAAGTAGAAATTTGAATTTCTGACGTTTTCTAAATTCATTCAAACCATTTCTTCAAATTGAATTATTACAAGTGTAAATAGAATTGTAGAATAGAAAATATAATGCAAAACAGTGTGGAACTCATAACGCTGAATAATTGAGCAATACTACTTAAATCGGCTTGAGGTGACTGCAAATTGTTTTCGAATATATATAACAGCAGTTCTCATTTTCGAATCACCAGGGTTTCAACAAACTTTAGCATTCGGCCTAGACAACTTATACTCGAAACCATAAAGATTAAGTTTAAATCAATCATATAACCTGTTTCAACTATGTATTGAGTAATACAGGAAGATTGATTTTTATTATCTGGTTTTGTTTATTCGTAATTTTATTTGTTTCTTTAGTCGTTTTGGTACATGTACGTAGCTACACATGTATAAACTGTTAAATATATAGTAGGATCTAAGATAAGGTGATTACATTTACAGTAATATACTAAATGAAATCAACAAGTCTTACAGCGGGAGATGATTTAATGTAATTAATTGAGGAGAGTAAGATGATGTTTAGCTTGAAAATGACATAAAAACTGTAAGGGATACTTTACAAGATTAACTGAGTATATATATATATATCCACTCATTATAAATATGTATCGAATGTCTAAGTCCAGTTCAGTTAATAGTCCAATGAATATAAAAAAGACTTCAAACACTTGTAATGGAATCTGAACCCAAGTGGGAAAAGGACAACTCGTAAGTTAACTAATCATTAACTATTCCTTTAAGAAATATTTGATGTGGTAGGTGGTTGAGACAAGATAAGTATACATAATGTTATATGTGATTAGTACATTTTTAGAACTTACTAAATATTCATGTGATTGATTCAAATATCTATATGTTTAATTTTCAGTTCATAATCTATTTAGTCCATTACAAATACAAAAACGTGTAATTAATGGTCAAAAAGCAGAAAAATTAGAATATCCATGGGCTGTATCTATAAAAGGTACAAATCCTATATTCAAACAAATCACATATTGTGGATCAACATTTATACGAGATCGTTGGTTGCTTACTGCTGCTCATTGTTTTTGGGCTGGATCATGGAGAAAATCCCAGTAATTAAAAGTTTCGAAGCAATTTTATAGTAAAATATTTTATTCAAATTGTATACTTTTATTCAACAAATAGAGAAGGCATTTACCTTGTGAATAATTCAGTATGTTTGATATTAACAATTTTCACTTTAACTAAAATTCAAATGACATATGAAAGGAAAAAGAAGAAAATCTGTTGTAGACTTCGTACATTTCATTAGTTACACTTAGGTAGATTGTAGGAAAAATGTGATAATACATTTGAAAAACGTTTCTTTGAGTTTAGAGACATCTTAAAACAATTAAGACAACTCATTGTATCATTGAATAAAAATAAAGAGAATTCCGGAGAGACATTTCTCCTTTACAACGAAATCACTAACTTATGCTGTACATTGACATTTGTAGTTGTATGGTAAATATATGCTTATAGAAAGATAGAAAATATTACATCACACAGTGATTCATGACTTTGAATATGAAATGAGGTTACGTAATAACCAAGGGGTTAGAGAAGAATAGAAAGATGAAGTTAATTTAGTGGTCACAATAATGAAAGATAATTGTCCTCTTGGTATATGAAAAAAATGAAAAACAAAACGGTTATGATAATAAAACTGAACAGTAATTATGAAAAATTTGTTGAAGGATAATGACAACTTATTAAGGTTTAAAATTACAAGACAATAATTTTGAAAAAAAACAATACAGAAGGGGGTTTGGTTCAAAAATGAATGTAGGGTTGGACGTATCGTTTTTGCATGAAGAGTCCGGGTTTAAATTGGTGGATTGCAAACGGCTCAGCTGTGCATAGGTTTTTGATCAAACCTCCCTTCATTTCAGTTTCTTTGTTTGTGCACATTATTTTGGAAGAAGACACCTTTGAAGTAACGAGTTCAGAGTTGATTAGGTGCTTCTGGGTTGAAATGGTTACTGTAATGTTCTGAGATGCGTTTGGAAGGTGTTCGCTTCCTGCATTCAATGTAACCTGCCACACAGGAGCAAGTAAATTTATAGATGCACATCGACATGCAAATAAGAATGACTTCGTTGAGAAGAAAATTTTCTTCACAGAATTCACTTTACTTTTATTCCATAATCAAAGACATTTTTGATTAATCTGGTTGACAGAAAATTTAGTGATACGATAACCATATCAAACAATTTCCTCAAACCATTAGTGTTGAGTGAATGTTAACGGAAAGACATAATGGTAACACGTTATGCACGATAACTCATGGCACATAGATTAACTGTTAATTGGGCAGGTAGGTGCATTAATGGGAAGTATTCGACTATAATATGATAGATGTCCACTTCAGCTTCGTATTCAATAGTTATCTAGTATTATGAATTGTGCTTGAATCAAAAGATTTACACAAACCTTAATATTTTAAATTGTTATTTGGATTTACATATTCGATTTAGACATTTAAAATCAGGTTAGATCGATAGCTTGAATTTATCCTTTTCAACCAAAAGCGATTATTTACATTTCAGCCTTTTGGATCCAAGTAACTGGCATGTTCAAGCTGGAAGTAACGTGATTGAAGTAAGTTACTTTTATTGATATCCATTATCATGACACTTGGACAATCATTGTTTATTAAATTCTTATTTTTATGATGTTTTCATTAGTTTATTTATTAGACTGATATTTGCGGTGTAAATAGAGTTTTAGTTCATCTGAACATTTGTTTGACCGTTATAAAATTGAAGATAGTTTTAAAATGCTAAATGCATAATCTGTCTAAAAATTAGGTTGTCACTCTTCTGCTTACCTTATGAAAATGAGATTCTTATATCATAAGTTATGAATCTGTAGCTTACCAAAGTAATAAAATTTTTAACGTAGAACCAGAGGCTATTTGGCGTTCGAAATCCCCACCTTGTATGCATAAAACGAAATTCTGGCTCACTTGCCACTGATATGATAGTTAATTAGCTGTTCCAACTACCTTACTTACATTTCTCGGTTTTGTTTGATTGACCTCATCTTTATTAAATCCAAACAACGCTTTCTTTTTTGACCTTGGTTCAGTTTTCATTTCAAATTTATGGTTATAATGACTAATCTTATTGTTTTGAGATTGTTAGGCTAAAGATTTAACCCCTTATCATTTCAGACATTCAACCATTTCCATTTTCTCATGTCCTTTAAAATTATTATTGCCGTTAGTAGGGTTGGTATCATCAATGTGTTCATGGATGAACTAAGCAACTGTTACATATAATTAAGCAACAGATAATGTATATAAATGAAGTAGCTAAGATAGGAATCAAATAATGTAGGCATTATTTATTGTTTAGTTGAATATGTGTAGTAAACTGTTATAATGAATAAAAAATATTCTAAGTCGCTTTATAGCTAATCAGCTTTCTTACAAATGTGTTTACAGTCATCTCTGATCTATTTTGAACAATTTTACAGTTCTACAGTTGTTTTTTTTCTTATATTTTGTCAAAACACTTTCCCAAGATTTCCTCTCAAAAAAATCTCACAAAATATGGTGTTTACATGTTAACCATGAATTGTCAATAGGATAGTTTCCTATTTGACATACGTTCAGATTTATTCGACCACAAGTGTGAGGCATCTTTATATACGATTTTTTTATTCATTTTCATGGTATTTATTTAAAACTATTCCGTAATTACGTTATGATGATTTATTTAATTTTGTATTGATCAAAATATGTTTCCTAGAAAACTAAGACTTATCAAATAAATGAAAATAGGTTCCAAAGAGTCAAAGATAAAATCTATGAACCATCTGAAATTTGTATACGTTTATTTGTACAAATTTGTAGAATATAGTTCAATAATATAACTAATTTAATTTTTAGTTAGGTGAAGAACATGGATATAGAGGACATGTATTAAAACCAGGTACAAATGGACGTCAAACTATTATAGCTACTTTAATCAAAAGGTTAATTGATATTTTCTCCAGGTAAGTTAAATTATTCTATCATTTTTTAAAAGAAAATGTCTTATTGAAATGATGTTAATGCATGCATATTGCATTTTATTATAAACTGTAATGTTCAAACTATTGTGTATATACACATATCTAGAAGTGAAGTGAGGGATTTAAATGTTTTATTTACCTAATTATATCAAATAGTTGTCATTGTTTCTAGGACAATGTAAATATGTACACCAATTTCATGTATCCTTATCGTTTTTTTTTGATGAGCAGTAAGGTAGAATTCGCTAATAGAAAGTATTCGTTGTAATTGTAAATTAATGTTTAACTAATGACCAATATTCTAATCATACATTTTTATGCTTTTAATGTTTGAACTGTTTATCATCTTTTTAAGTAGTATGAGATCGTATTTAATCAATTACTTGACGATCTGAAAAAAACAATATTTACTCTCACAGTCTGTAGTATAATAAGCTTTTATGTACTTCAATGTGATTTACTAATTATCCAAGTGCCAATATGACGAACTCTGTATCATATATCTTCATTAGCTGGGTTTTTGATTTATTCCTCATTATGAAATAATTTATTATTTAGAAATTTCTCACCATATCAAAATGTAGATATATGAATTGGAAATATTGCTTACAACGAATTCTCCTCATTTTCTGCAGTTATACTATAGTGAACAAGAACATTATTAAGGACAATAAAATGTAGTTGAACACGAAAATTACACAATTTCTTAGTAAAAGCTAAGAACCATATAGTAAATCATTCATTTACGAAAAGCCAATCAATCGTCTCAGAATTCATTGATAATTCGTTGCTGTATCAATCATTTTCTGTTCTCGTTCATTTTTCTTCGGTTTTCCTAACCTTCTGCTATCAGGTATTTCACTTTCTATTGATGATACATACTACTTATATCTATCGACATCAGTTGTATACACCGAAATGCATCCAAATTAATAGTTCAGAAGAATAATCAACTTTAAAGTAAATTTCATTGTTTTAAATTACGACATTAAAATTAGGGATTATAAGTAAAATAAAATGAAATCGTTAGTGGTAAAATGACTAACATACGGTGTTATCTTGTATTAGCTGAAATAAAGCTGTAGAATTAATATTCAGAATAAATATAAAAAATAGAGTGAGAGAAATAATATGGTAAGTACAAATCAGATCGAATAGTTGGTAAAAGACAATGTTATGTACAAAATTATATGAATATATTGAGATATCATAAATGAGGTGAATGTTTATGTATTCATGTGTATGGACGAGTAGGAATGTTAGTAACAACTATAATGATAAGGAAGAAGGTTACATAAAGATCTAGGAGTTAAAGAGAAATATACTTGTCTAGTTTCAACGAAGTCACTTGACTTATACATTCGTTTGGTTTGATAATGAGTCTATAGTGGAAACGAAAATGAAGAGCTATCTCGTATATCAAAATAATTTAATTATTTAATGTCTAAATTTACGAGTTAATTTGAGCAAGCGTCTGTCATGAGGCAGTTACTCACTGAACACAATGATGGACAGTTGCAAAACATCGTGAATTGACTGAATTTAGACATTAACACCGTTGAGTGCCGGCTCATTGATCTAGATGTTAAGCGTTCGCGTGCGTGACCGAAGGTCCTGTGTTCGAGTTTCGCGTGCGGAATCGTGGGTGCGCACTGTTGAGAAGTTCATAGATAGGACAAAGCAGCCGTTCAGTGCTTCCAGGTTTTCACTGGTTGTCTAACTTAAATAGATTCATGAATCCAATCACTAGACTACTAAAATTTCATTCCGACAATAAGTGAATTATTGTGCTTTGTTATTCTGCTACGATCATGTATTCTCACTTTATTTACATTTATCAGTAGTGAAAATAGTATGAAATTTTTGAATAAATTAATATTATGTATTCGATTTCATTTGACTTGTCTTTTTTCTTACACATTTAGTGCATTTTTTTCCCTGTATAATTCACTGACTTCTTTCTGATCATATAACAAACATGGAGTTTATTTGTTTGATTGTAGTTTACCCACATGTACATTTATATTTATATGATTTCAATCTGTGAAATTTCTAAAATCTCCACAAAACCCACTCTGATAATAATAATCACCTGCTCACTAGTGACTGACTTCAGGAGACACTTCTGGAGTTCTAGTGAGAAGTCGTTACTAGTGGAGTTCAACCAGGTCTGTTGTGAGATAGGAACTCACTGAGGACAATGGTGTACGGTAGCGCAACTTCGTGGATTGGTTGAAGTTAGACATTAACACCATTGGATGCCGGCTCAGTGGTCTAATGGTTAAGTGCTCGCGCGCGAAGCCAGTAGGTCCTGGGTTCGAGCCCCGGGTGGTGCGGGGTCGTGGATGCGCACTGCTGAGGAGTCCCGCACTAGGACGAAACGGCCGTCCAGTGCTTCCAGGTTTTCAATGGTGGTCTAGCTTCAACTGACTCATGATTTCAATCTGTTAAAAATAAAATGTTAGTTTTTTTTTCAGAAATCCATTTACATTTGTCGAACATATCAGTAGTAAAAAGAGACCAGTTAAATAATTATGACGCCGTTGGTATTTTTAGTTAGTGTGTAGCTATGCCTTGTCAAATGAACAAGCAAATAAACACACAAATCAATGGACAATTTGTAAAATATATCCCATTAAGTAAAACGTTTATTTGATAGTCAATGAGGTGGTTCTCAAGCATCTAAATAATTTGCATTTAGATTTTCCTGCACATTAGTCAGTTATCGCTTAAAACATTTCAGTGCTTTGTTATTATATCAACAAGCATGTTATGAATGTAAAAAGATCAATAAATATGCGATATGGTAAATTCTGAAACAGACTTTTACATTGTACATATGAATGGTTTACAATATTTGAAAATTATTCCCACTAAAATTTCACATTTTTGCATCATAATTTAATAGTAGTTCAAAAGACAGACAAGGAGCTGTTTGGCATACACATGTAAAACAAATTATACTTCATCCAAATTATAGACCAGGTAAGCATTGCAAAAAAATGATAAATAGTAAACAAACTATACTGTTTTCTAAAATCAATAAAAAACTGTTTGTTATTTTTGTATGGTGTTATTAAGACATTTCAAATTATGTTTTAATCTCAACTTTAGTTACTTGCTTATTTATGCTTGTTATCCTTCGTTTAGTACAGGCTGCTAACTAACTATCTCCACCCTATTATATCTTGTGCTTTCCTATTCAACTGTTGCCAAATTTTCTTCATTCCTTTGATGTTTGTATCTGATAGTCAGGATGATGTTCTTTTGAAATTAAACTTTATTTATCTTGGTAATATCTTAACGATCTATAAATGTGTGCCGACATTATGAAGAAAATCGGTGTAAAGTAACAACTTTGATGATCATTTTGCCTTAATCAAGATATAATGGATGAAATGTTTTATAAATAATGTTGTGCTCAAAGATACTGACAAATTGCAACCGTATACATATCTATATGTGGAAATCTGTTTAATCATATCGTTTGACATAGATCATATTAAGCAGTTTCATTACTTTATATAAATGGAATTTAGATTTTAATGGGGAAAAGTGGTTGCTTACACGGATAAATAATTTGAAAAGTATTTTTAAGTTCAAATCGCACTTTTTAAGCAACTAAATTTTGCTTTTAAGACGAAAAAGTCAACTTACGAAAGCTGTCGATAAAGATATTTACACGATATGTTACTATCACGATTAATACTGCCAATATGGTTATTTTTTCTGTTATCTTTTTATTCATCTGGATTTGGTGTTTACGTAATTATATTTTTATATGACTAACGCCAAGGTAAAATGTTCTCTGTGAAGTAGAAGTTTGCACATGATCATTATTGAGAAAGTAAGCTTATATTGAATAGTTAGTGAAGAAAGGTGAATTTTGCTAAGTAAACTTGTTAAGTGAATTTTGCTAGATAAAGTATGTATATAGTAAAATATCGAAGTTTTTATGCAACATCGGCAATTCATTAATTTTACACAAAATTTACCATTACATGGAGAATGTTCCTTTATAAGCCTAGTTATTTTCATTTGAACAGCCATTCATAAGTAAGAGTATGCAATTACAAGAATTTCGCATTTCTGTAACTTGGCCTTTATCACCTGAACTAGACCATAGGTTTATTAATGGCAATAATCATAAAGACTGACAGTAATGGTAAATTTATACTCTATACTTTATTGTCTTTTCAGACGATCTAGAATATGATCTAGCTTTGCTCGAATTAGAAACACCCTTGCCGTCGGAAGATCCAGGGGTTCAACCTGCTGAATTACCACCTAGTGAAAATTATCTTGCTTGGCCACCTGATCATGCTGATTGCATATTTGTCGGATGGGGTTGTCGTGTAAAAAATGGTAAACCATCAGCACAGGCTCAAGCTGTTCATTTGTTAACACTAAAAAATCAGGACTGTTCGCTAATGTATGGCAATGCCGCAGGCTTAAACGATCAACATGAGTTTTGCGCTGGTTATTACCAAGGACGAGTAGGAATATGCTCAGTAAGCCCTATAACTAATATTTGTTCTTCAACTGAATTGCAAAATAATTTTTGTGATTATGAAAGTCTAGTTTCAGTCGGTATGTTTGGGAATTCGCATACATCTAGTCAAGACTGTTTCTACGAGAATTACAGATTCAGAAGTTTTCTATTTGATTAAATTGTATTTTGTAAGACGGATTTTATAATGTAACTTTACAAATGAGATAGAGATTAGTATTATATCCCTAAGCAAATTCAAAATCATAATAACAAAACTAACGATGCCATCATGATGATGTTCAAATATTTATACATCATCTCCCAATGGTATCATTGATCAGAGCACGAATAACGAAATTTGAAGAATAAATTAAATCTGTTACGTTTCGATATTTTTCGCTAGCTGTGAGAAGCCTACATTTGAAACAACTGATATTGATAGGGATAGACTTGTGAAAAATGTGGATCATAAGAAATCTATTGTGAAATACTTAAAGAATGAACTAAAATTGAAGTGTCCAGCCCTCAGTAAAAATATCTCTTCATCTTTTCTACGTTGAAATGAGATATCAATTAAAGAAATTACTAAAAATAACCTTACTTGTAACATTAATGGATTATTTTTTGCAAATGAATGTATATCAATACTTAAGAGTTCACCTTCATCAGTATTTGCAAACTTTATGAAAAATGTATATAACAATCACTGAGAATAGTTTCACTATACTGTACTTTACAGTTATATTTGCTGAAGAAATAAAGTGAGACCACCAAAGCATATGATTACTAAGCAAATGTTTGGTTTTTATTGTGACAAAGCTAGGTAAGCTTTTGCATAATAAAAAGTGCTACGTATCTTATGTAAATATTTTTTCTGCAGCATTTTAGGAATAAAATAAACCCAGATGAAATTAGGAATTGAAAGATTAATTTTGGTGGAGTTTTGTTCTCTGAGCTTGATGGTTTGGTCGTGGAGCTTTCATCATTCTTTTGAACGACATCATCAGCACGAACTCCAACAGAGCTACAAATCTTCTCTACCATCTCAATAGAAACATTAATTCTTCGTAATTTTCATTGGTCAAAGATTTTTCACTTAAGTAGCGTATACTCAAACATTGGTCAAGTTACTCTTGTTCTTGATAAATTTACATTATGTAACCACTACATATCAACTTAAAAGCTACTAAAATCACCAGGTATTAGTATAAGTGGGTAAATGTGTTAAAAATAATTAGTAGTTCACATATGTATGCAGTAAAATGTGATTAAATTTATTACATAGGATTTTGGGGGGAATTACAATAACCTTACATGTCATAACTAAATAGTCCACTTTTTCAACTCCATTCCACCCGTCATGTAATATAGTAATCATTTAAAGTTATCGTTGAATTATAGTCAATCTCAACTGTCAACAAGTTTAAACTAGAAAAAGTAAGTACTTAGTGTTCAGCGGTCTTAATGGGAATCAAAGTTATTTCAAGATGCGTTACAACTTTTAGAGGAATTCAACAAGATCATTAATAAATCAATTAGCGCTAACTTATTGAAATGGCATATAATTTTTATGGTCGTAGGTGGTGGAACGATTATTATTTTATGAAGTATATTATTTATTTGAATGGACTTAATTAAGAAGCTTATATCATTTGCGTAATTAAATAAAGCGAATTTCCTTTTGCTTTTTTTTTAGGGTGATAGTGGGAGTGGTCTGATTTATAAGAAAGATGATATAAACTACGTTGTTGGTGTAGCTTCAGCTACACACGCTACGGCACCTGAGCTTTATCCAGGTTTATTCACAAGAGTTGCATATTTTAGAACATGGATTGATGAAGTGATAGATGGGATAACAACTCAAAATTCAACTAGCCCAAAACAATAAATCACAAACTAAATTCACATTAGCATATTTTCAGTACATTTCACATTATCATTCAGTTTTGTTGAATATTATTATACACAAAAAGAAGAATTGAACTTTTCTCATGTTGATTTTATTCCATCTGACATAAAATGTAACTAATATACTGTAATCACATTAAATACATATTTAAAAAATGAACTTTTGAAATCATTACGTTTGTTCATGAAGTAGGTACAAGATGAATTCAGTGTACGTAATTTCATAAATACTTTCTTGAAGATATTTGCATGTATATCTATGCAGTGAATTTAGATCATTATCGATACGGATATTTCACTACTTTACAATGATTCAAGATTTTTAAAAATATATAATTTCGATCTAACCTGTTATGTAAAAAGTTATTGAAGAAAAAAGCCTTTTATTTAAGCCTTTTTAATAAGGAAAGTGATGGATTGGGTGTATTTATGTCTAGCAAGTTTTGCAATAATGAATATATACTCAATTATCTACTGTGGATAATCTGTATTCTGACTAGACAACAGTTATAAATCTTCGTAATTTTTGATGTTTATTCAGTTCCTTATTCAGAAGTTTCTGGAAAGATAGATCATGGAATAGGATTTCAAATTAGAAATGTTGTTTTTTTTTAATCAGAGTCAGTAAATGGACATACTCTTCTTGTAACTACAAACAATCATTTATTTGGTATCATTTGAATTTGATGGTCTTTCTGAACAACATACTTTCGTAATTGAAAAGTGACATGTATTTGCTATGGACGCGTTTGAACTGGACACGTAGTTCTCTCTTCCCGTTAACTTAACTCTAAGCGAAAACAGGATTCGTTAATGATCACTTGTCTGACTAATACCTGATCTTTTATAATGAAGTATTATTGGTAAAAAACGAATATTGCCCTCGTACTGATTATTTAAATTTAAGTTTAGGACTGAAATCGATCAGTCACTTATTAGTAATTTACACATAATTTATATTGAACGTTTAAGTTTATCTGAACTAAAAATAGCAGTGATTTGATTTGTAATTATTAAGTTAAATAATAACCACAATGTGAGTGCTGCTAACCTAACAATCTAGAATAATTAACTTCATTCATTCACGTTTTTATGGATTTAATATAACTTAATATTTGTATTATATTTACCAAAGTGTACCAAGTTTGTAGACATGTGAACAAATCGGCATTATCGATTAATTACATAATAAATGAAACACAAAACAAAACCATAAGATTAGAATCGATTCAGTCAATTATAATTAGTGAGCAAGTAATGAACGATTGGCAGCTGAATAAAAGCCAAACGAGAACAAGTATCAAGAATTAGAAAAACACTGACTGCAATTCTCTTTTTGTGTTTTGAGGTGTAATTATAAACTTCCGTGAACATCAATTACACTTATAGTAAAACAATATCCAGATTAATGTCTATTACACGAGTCTGTGTTGGTAAATTGATTCAATGAGATGATTACTGATATACTTTAATAGAAATAATTTATTGTGTCAAACATTAATTGAAATAAATGAGACCATTAGCTTATATTTTTAGCTTTATTCATATTATATTTTTGATACATTATATAATTGTCAGCACAAATCATTTCAACAAGTTTCCGTTTCTTACTTCTTGGTCAATGCTGACGAAGCTAGCAGTCCAGTAAATCGACATCTAAATAATGTACATTCTTTTCGCTGCATATTGACGGCAACCACGATATCTCTGATTGGGCTTTTTGTAACTTTTACAACGAAAGGTTGTATACTTTTCAGAAACGCACCTGAATAGGTTATGCGATTAATAGCCATAATGATGTACTGCGACAAACAAAAAACAGATAACTTGTTGAAATATCCAGATGACAAGAACGGGTAGCTTAGATGTTCAAGCAGGTCGCCAAAGTCCATACATATCTATTGAAGATCTCTCTTTTTATTTTCTGAATAATATATAACAATTATTGATAACTTGAGAATAAATAATAAATAATACTTAAATTCAATCTACGACTTTGTAATAAGTTTCATATTTTCTTGTTACTTAATCGTTTGACGAATGAATCATCAGATACTTACTCATTAGATGAATTCATCAGTCAATTGAAGCATTGATAAAACAAGTTTATTTACTCCTGAATGATCAGAACATTAACAACAGAAAATTGTTTGCATTGTGTTTTTTCTGTTCGTTTTTTGTTTCATTCTATTTATTCGTTGAAATTCTGGGTATTTTCTATTTTAATAGTTGAGTCCATGAATCAACTAAAGCAAGACCACCATCGGAAACCTGGAAGCACTAGATAGCTGTTTTGTCATAGTATGCGACCCCTCAGTAGTGCGCATCAATAATCCGGCCTGGTGAGATTTGAACCCAGGACCTATCAGCCTCGCTCACCATCACTTAATCTCTAGACTACTGAACAGGCATCCAACGATGTTAATGTCTAACTTTAACCAATGCACGAAGTTGTGCAACTATAAATCATGTTAACATATTAATGACATTGGTTTTTTTTAACTTCAAGATGGTCTATTCACTGAACAGATTGAAAATAAACTCAGTATAGCTAATTAAAAAGTCATGATTTGATCAAAAATTATAGAAAAAAATTTATTTATTCATTGTTTTTTAAACAAATTTAAAAAAATGTATTGACATAACAGTACAAAAATGCCATTGTACTTTCTTTTTGTTGTTGTTGTTGTCGTTGTTGTTAAAAGAAAAGAGATTAAATTATACCATTTAGACTATCATTTAAACATAAATGTATGCTAACTAGTGTACAATTGAATTAAGCTAAATGTTGTTTTCTTTGTTTCGATTTGTCACTGATATCTTCTAACCGGATTTGAAAAGAAGGAAAGCTCTTTCTTGTAAATAGAAATAGATGAAATGTTGTGTTTCATGTGTTACGTAACTGAAATTAGAATTATAAAAAAGGAAAGATATTAAAATATTGTGTATTTACTAAATCGATAAAAGGTAAACATATATATATCATCCTACAAACCTCATCAGTCTAAACTGATATGACAAAGAATGAAAATGGATTTTATAAAGTAGGAGATAATGTTATAAAATATAGACGTTTCTTGCTTTATATCTAATTAGTTATGTTTCTTAAATGACCGAATTCACTATATCTGACAATAGATATTATATATACTAATCATATTTCATAATGAAAGGACATTAACATAAAAATAAACGATTTTATTTATGATGCTTACCTGCCAAAATGTTTTCCAACAATACAATGCCAATTTGGATTATATTTTCTATCAAATTCTTTTTTTATATAAGCAGCAACATCTTTTTCAATTTCATATTTGTCAAGTGCAGCAGCAGCTGTATGTACAGCAGTCTCTTGCATATCTTCATGCATATCAGCATTTTTAATGACAGCTTTTCGTTCTCCCATTTTAACTTAATTTATGAATATAAACACAATGAAGTATTATACGTGAACATTTAGTACTTTTATACCGTTCATAATTTTAAGTACTTAATCATATCACTATTTTCATTCGTAGATTCATGTTTAGTAACTTAGCTTCAATTCACCTGACTAGATGAGAAGAAGAAGAAGAAGAAGAAGAAAAAAAATGAGCTATTCCGAAAATTGGTTTTTATTATAGCATAGCTATTATATATAAGGCTGACAAGTAAATGAACACAAATACTATACTTATTTGTAGTTAGAAAAAAAAAGTTATATGTGTGTTTACCATATCATTTATCTTTCTTTAAATGATTTTTTTCTCTCTCTCTCTCTTTCTTTATTGTTATGTTTACTTATGATTGAGTTAAACTATGTGCGTTAGTGTAATCTATGAGTTTGACTATAGGACTGTGAGTACAAATGTGAATGTGTATCATAACTTCATTATACTATGTTACCATATGTTTACACTTAGTGATTGTTGTTGTTTTTTATATATTTTTAAATAATCACAAACTATTTGTTTACAGCTATTTACTTCTATAATGGTTCAACTTAATTTTTTT